GGGGGGGGGGAGTCAAATTTTAAGAGTCTTGTTATCAATGTACTAATAAAAGCTTTATCAAATAGATAAATGATTAATACATACTAAAAGAACAAAAATTTGATGTTATGCATACTCAATTAATTAGCTCATTAAACACAAATGCTTATTACCAATTGGAGTTTAGAATTATTTACATAAAAAGGTTTTAATTCAAACCTAAATTCAGTTTTTTAATGCTGTTTTAATTATTGGTTTTAGAAAGCTAGTTTTAAACTGTGTTTAAATGAGGATTTAAGTTATATTTTACAACCAAGTGAAGTGTGTTTTAATTCAAGATTATATATTTTATATATATATGCAGTCCATAGATAATTGTCTTGTTTAAGCGATTGTATTTTTTGTTTGGTAAGTTTTGAATCCATTTCAGATTTGCACTGAATTAAGTTTTTACTTTTAACATCTTCTGATGTAGCAGAAAATATATATTTTTAAATTTCAAATACACGGGGCAGGGGCGTTAGTCAGGAATTTGTCTAGGGGTAATTTTGTTTTCTTTCCATGGGGGCTCAGCACCTGTTGGTGCCTGAAAACCCCCTGAAATTCATAGAAATCACTGGTCCAGGGGGGGTAGACTTAGCCCCAATAGTCCCCCCTTAACTACGCCTCCAACACTGGGGGACGGGGTGGGGTATCCTTGACAAATATGTTTTCCATTTCGAAAATGTTAAGAAATCTCAATTTTATCCGTTAATAAAAATGCCGATCGATCTAATGATCGACAAAACATCTTAAGACCAGTTTTGGGACATCAGTTTCTAAAGTATAAAATTGTAAAATCATCTAGCTTTCATCTTGTGAATATCAGGTTTGATGTTTTTAGATAATAAAGTGCATATCACGATCTGTACGGGTTACACAGAAAATCCGTTTCAAAGAAACCATGAACTCATTTAATGTGTTTTCAACTTAAAGGGACTGTAAGCGTTATTTCAAGTGACCCTCCATGCAAAAATGCCAATTGCCGATTCACAACGGTACCTTAAGCTGTGTTTGGTCAAGAATAAATTAGACGTCAATGTTTATAATTTCGAAAAATAGTGTTTTTCAATTGTGGTTTCTCTACAAAAAGTACTTGCGCATTTTTACTGGAGGAAAACATTTTGAAATCATCAGAATTAAACACTTATTATTCCAAAAAACGACTATTTTTTCTTCATTATTAATCAGATAAAGGTTTCAAGGGTACCATAGTGATTCGGTAATTGCATGGAGGCCACTAAAAAATTACACTTGCAGTCTCTTAAAGGGCGGAAAATTTTTGTTTCTGAAAAAATTCTTCAGCGCTAAGTCGCTTCCCCCCTTTATGGCAAACGGTGCCAATACACCGAGTTCAATCGTTGAAAGCTAAACTATTCCAATTAAAAGCTCTTCTCTCTAATTTTTTGATACATGAAGCTTGTAACTATCTTGGTTTTGTTTTGAATAAATGTTTGAAAAAGTTGAATTCGTATAACAGGGATATGATCTCTTGTTCAGTCGACAACAATATTGTTGGTAAACAACAGGTGAACAAAAATTTAGTGTGCTTCACGCGTCCCTCTATAGTGCTTTGTGATTTTATTTGAAATTAACTCCCGTTATAACTTATTTCAATTCTAACTTATTAACTTGACTCTTGCCTGGCCCTTCACACTTTGTTTCTTTGAAACATGGACCAGTGACGCCCTGCCAACCAATATGGTGGTGCGGTTAGATGAGGGCTTAACCCTGACTCCCAAGGGATGATGGTTGACCATTTTATTTATTTATTTATTTAATCAGTAATCGGCGTTTTTCAGCTTTAAATAGACAGGAATAAAAAAATCTTTATAACAAATTTAAAATTCTATTTTTATTTTGTTTTAGGTTGATACTCTACGGAAGCTGGCCCTTAGAGCTGGAGATGTTTATAAGAGCGGATTCATTTATATAAATGTAAGTGTTGTTAACTTGTTAGAATTATAATAATAGTTGTAATAATTATTTATGATAATAATAATGGTCAGTCTGTGATCATTCCTTAGAAATCCAGGTCTTTTTCTCGTCAAATTATTTTAATTAATGGTTGGTAAACGGTATCAAATTTAAAGCTTTTAATGGCAACGGTTGGTTTATTGATTGATTGATTGGTTGTTAAACTTTAACAGCTAAGTGCTCGGCCCAGATTTAATCCTAATCTATCGCACGATATAGATAACCTGAGCTGAAAACTTTAGAATATGATATCCTTAATCCCGATCGGTTAATTGATCTGGAGATTAATAACAAGAGGAGAACAAGCATTATTTAATCTCGAGATTAAGAAAAAGAGGAGATCAAGCATTGATTTCGATATCCATCATTCTAAAGTTTTCAGCTCTCAGCAGATTATAATTGTATAGCGGTAAAATGTGAACAAAATGTGTGATTGTCTGTTATATATTTGTTTATTGGGGCCTATGATAGATAGATGGAACTGATCACGTGACCTAATGGTTGGATTTAAGAGTTAGGGGGGTTAACATTATCCCTTTTTAACGATTGACCCTAAAAGTTTAAAGTTAACGGGTCAAACCCTTCAAATAGGAAGTTGTTAAAATTAACATTTCATTCAGCTAATACAGGGGGACCCAATAAAGACCATTATAGGAACTTTGCCTTCAAATCTTCAACATTTCAAAGTTTTAGGTCTTCTTAAATGTATCAACCTGTGAGGATAATGATGTATTTGATTATTTACTATTTAGGGATGCTTTTATATCGATAGAAGACACCCCACAAATATTGACTACAGCCAAGTTATTCGAGACTGGGTGTCCAAAGCAGATAGGTATGACAATTTTTGAAATTCCGTGATTTTTTTATTGAAAATTCTAGAACATTTTTGCTGACTAGACTGGGAGATAAAGATCTGTCGTCTGTCAGAAAATTCAATAGTTACTAAAATAGTTGATTTTATATTAAAGAATTGACAATAAGATATTTTAAATAAATTAAATTGAAAAATATGAAAATAAAGAGTAAATTTGAAATCTAACAAATTCTAAGAGGATGGACATTATTTCAACAACATTGAAAAGTGAATAATAAATAAGCATTTCTTTATTTTTATTACTTAAAATGCATGCTCGTGTAACATTTAAACCTTGTTGCTCTAAAGTATATATAACGGAATTGTTAAAAATTAAATACTCCATTCTAAATGCTTACTCCTTATCTTATCGTGTGAAAAAATCCCCCTTCAAATTGTGTTATTATTTTCACAAAATTTCAACCATTTCCTTTGAGAAAAAATAGTTTTAGAATTAGTCAAAGGAGGTATGTATTTTCTTGAAACATTTTCCCGCCCCTCATCAAACTTTTTTTCTTGCTAAATCGGGGAAAATAAAAGATTTTAGTTGAAAATACCAAAAGATGGGAAATTCTTGCAGTATAATACCACGTTGATGAAAATCACCCCCCCCCCCCTTCTGAAACCGTGGAGGGGGTTTTGGGGATAATTGAAAAAATGGACTTAATTTTATTTGTCTCCTTCAGAGGAATCGGTCCATTGAGGAAAGGAGTAATGGAGAGCACTACCTTGGCTGATCTTGAACTCAGGGTTGGATATCCATACCTATACACACATCAGGTACACGACGGCCTTAGTTTATTTTTCATTATTGATTGATTGATTGATTGATTGATTGATATATTAATCAACGGATTAAATGATGTCTATTGGATATAGTGGATTATTTATGAATTAATTGACTCAAATGATAGTTTGATCAAATGATTATTTGATCAAATGATTATTTGATAAAATGCTTAATTTATCTACTTCCACTGATAAGCTGAATTATTGATCAGGGTAATCACGAGCACCTCCTTGTATTCAATGATGTTCGCCTGGTTGGGCCTGAGGATCCACAGGTAAGAGACAACATTTTTGGGATTTTTTCAAGTTTACCCAAAAAAGATAAGATTAATGACGACCTAAAACTCATAAATATATTAATCGTATTTGTTTTTTCTGCATTAAATATAGTTTTAACGAAATGAAAGGAATGGTTTGGTAAAGAAAAACATGTTTTAATTTGCAATTTACCAGTATTCTCTGGGACGGAAATTTAAAATAGTATCGTTGGACAAAACTACCAGAGTTTGGGTTCTGTATATTTGTGTTGATTTACATCAAGAAATAGAAAATAAAACTAACCATAGGAAATAATATTTCCTCAAAGATTATTGAAATCTACAAAATTGTCGTAACAAATTCGAGTGAAAACCAGTTTCCGATACTGGGTTTCACCAAGATACCCTGTCTTAAGTTTCGGGCTCTGAAGTCCTATTTTTCTGCGCAACCCTTTGTGTGATGAATCTTTAAAATATCGAGCGTTGGTGCTTCAAATCATTTGGTTTCTCCGGTATTCTAAGATTTCATCGATATCAATTTTCTTTAAGCTGTTATATTTTTTTCTTCACAATATTTGAAATGTTAAGAGTCCTCAGCACTCCTTGCTTTTAACTTTATGTCTTTTTGATGAAAACAATTGTCGGTAAGGGTAATAAGTGAGTTCTAATTTTATTTATTAGTATTATTGATGTTTAAAAAGGTTTTAAAAGGTTTTATTTTGAATTTCTTTTTTTTGGGGGGGGGGGTTGAATAAATAATTTTTTGATTCAAAAGTTGTAAGAAAGAGTATTGAAACCTTCAGGATGACATTTCATTCTTATTTATTCCCTTGAATTTTTTTTTACAAATATATGTATACAAAATAAATGATTTGTCCGAAATTTTAAATTAATTAGTTTCGTTTGTTCAGAACGTCAACAGTTATCCGCTTGTAAGGTCGCTCGGTATTCAGATGAGTAGGTAAAATTAATTATACTTGAATGCCATTTATCATTTATATCCTCAGGGCCCAGGGGCCACACTTTTTCTTCCTCACCCAAGCTCAATTTCATAATATTTTTTATAATCCAACATTATTTTACCGGCTGAACTTTAAGCTTTAAATATATCGTCTTAGACGGGAAATTTTGAACTTTAATATTTAAACAAAATGTATATTGCAAATGTTCCTGGGACCGAATTAAGTAAAAGCTAGATCACTTAACTACCCTCCGCTGCTGGTTCAAATCTTGAATCACCGATTCAAAAATGTAGATTTATGGGTGATTTAGGATTTAAACCGATGGTAGGCAGTTCAGTGACCTCTCCAATTCATTAAATTCGGTCTCTGGTCCTCTTTTTAAATTTTTATTTTCGTCTACACATAATTCAAAATTTTAAAAAATCATCAAATTTTTTTCAGACATTGTATGGTTTGCCAGACAGATACAGGTAACCTTAAATATATCTATTTATAAACTAGTGGGACTCATGTAGTATTATTATTATTGTTGTTGTTACTGTTTTTGTTATCAGTATTGTTGGTATTATAGTTGTTGTTATTACTGTTGTTATTGTTATTATTATTGTTGTTGTTGTTGTTGTTGTTGTTGTTATTGTTGTTAGTGTTGTTGCTATTGTTATCATTATTGTTGTTCTTGTTGTTGTTATTGTTGTTATTGTTGTTATTGTTATTGTTATTGCTATTGCTATTGCTATTGTTATTGTTATTGTTATTGTTACAAATTGTTACAAATTGTTATTGTTACAAATTGTTATTGTTATTGTTATTGTTATTGTTATTGTTATTGTTATTGTTATTGTTAATGTTTTTTTTATTTTTTTGTTTTTGCTGACGATTTCGTTTTTACTACTGTTGTTATTGCTGTGTTATTATTATTCTTATTATTTTTGTAGCAACTTGGGTGACCGAGGATAATGCGCGAGTTTCTGAGAATCCGTTCTTCTTCTGTACACTCTGCTACAAGAGGTTCAATTTCAAGGTAGGACTGGTTACGTTGCGAGGAATAGGGCATATTTGTCATCGGTTTAATAGAACTGATTCGAATACTAGTATTTTGCAACGTAATGTCGTTGGCCTTCTGTTACATCAAATGATCAAATATCAAAGTTTTCCACCATCAGGTTTCCGGATCTATTGTATCAGCAAATTGTCAACCAAACCATTGGGAAAACTTCTTGCTTTCAAAACACATATGTTTATTCTCAACCAATGAGATATCCGTATGCCCTATCTTCATCAATGAATGGTAAATCAGGTTTCTGCAGAAAAGGAAACAAAAGCAAATAAAGAAAATTTTGGAAATTTCCTTGTGGTAAAAGAAGTTAGAAAAACTTTTTAAAAAAATATTCATGGATCCGGATCCATTGTTTTAGAGGACGGATCTGGGATCTGAATCCTTTGTTTTACAGAACGGATCTAGGTTTCGGATCCATTGTTTTACAGGACGGATCCAGGATCCGAATCTACTGTTAGAAAACGGATCCAGGATCCGAATCCATTGTTTTTGAGGCCGGATCCAGGATCTGGATCCATTGTTTTACAGGACTTGGATTATCGTTATAAAAGTAGAACTATAATTTTGATTCTGTATTACTTTTTATTCATTTCAAAGTTAAATTGAATATTGATAAAATTGTAAAATAATTAAATATATGTTGTTTTAGAAATCTGGTGCTAAAGAGACCTCGTTCAAGGAGTATAGATATCTGGACGTAAATAGTTGTTAGAGAGTTAACGCTAACCAGTTGGCTGTGCAATAAATTAAACATAATATTTTTTAAAGAAATTAGAAGATGCTTAGTTTTTGCCACAAACTTTAATTTTCTAACCCAGGATTATCTTTGCAACCCAATGTTGTTAACTTTCTATATTTCAAACTATGAATTTTGTTAGATCAAATAATCTAAGCTTGAAATATCTAAGGTTTACACCAACAGGTTCGAAAAATAAACGAAAAAAATTAAGTTTGTGGCAAAAGCTTAGTTCCTTTGTCTGAGGATTACTCCTCTCTCTCTCTACGAAGAAATGTCGAAAATCTTATTTTTTAGTTTGTTACCAGATTCATTTATTAGAGCCCTGTGATCTCATCATGTACAGTGTACACATGTACACATATATGTACAGATATTCTTGTACCTGCTACATATTTATATTTTCAGATCATTAGACTGGAAAATGTCGGATGACGAGAGAGAGATCGATGTTGAAGATGTGAGTAACCGATTTTTATGTAAACTAACAATTCAAATTCAAATGATAAGTTTTGATGATTTATTGTTAACTAATTAAAGTGTCCGGCGTTGCCCGAGAAATTTTAAAGAAAAAAATCGATTTTTAAAAAAATAAAAAAAATCTTTTTTTATAAACAAAAAATCCTAAATTTTTATAGCCGGGGTACTCATGGGATCACTAAAAAAAATCAGCGAAATTGGTCCAGCCGTTTGGCCAGATATAGCTAACATATATATATGTATACATACATATAAAAATATATAAATGAGCGAAGAGCTTTATTATATAGAAGATTAACTTCTCAACTTTGCCATTGAAATATAGAGATGGGGGGGGGGGGTGTAGTTTTTTTTTCAGGAAAAAAGTCTAACTGAATTGACCTTTTCCTTTTAATTAGGACGGGGAGATGAACAATGATTCCGGGTCTGGGGGTATGTCCGACAGTAAAAGGGCGTTACACAACGCTATGGAGAGAAAGCGCAGAGACAGTATAAAGGTAAGTTCTTTTAAGATAATGTTTCGATGTTTTATTTCTATTAAACACGTCACACTGTGAAACCATGTTTTACAAAATTGTTGACTGAGGTTTTAATTTTCATCGTTTAAATAGAGCCACAAAGATTGAATTGTTCTGTATTTAGGACAGTTTTCGAGGTTTACAGGACTGTATTCCAACCTTAAGAGGGGATAAAACTTCCAGAGCCCAGGTATACAAAGCTCTAAGAATATACCAATGTTAAGGGTTGAGACAACCCCCATTTCTCATGTGTAGGCCATTTTAAAAGAAAGTCTTTTTTTGGACATTTAATGATGTTTTGGAAGAATTTAACCAGCTAAAAAATTTAAGACTCATGTTTCATCCCCGTGAAAGGATTACTTCTAATAAAATCTTCGCAACCTGACGGTGAACACATTTAATATTTCAAACTTTAACTATGTGATCTAACATATTAAATAGTTTAAACTATCCAAGTTCTATAACATCAGGTTGCAAAGATAAAAGGATTAGTATTGAAGGCAGGTGTTCAGTTCCTTTGTAAAGAATATGGTAAAAACTTTAAAACGCGCAATTTTTTTATTTTTTCATTATGCACGTGCAGTGTGCAATGTGCATTGCTGATTTATACTTCTGATAAATGAGTGAAAGCTAAAATCTCTTAAAATACAAGATGGGGGGGGGGGTTTCAGATCCTCCTTTATCTTCTTATCTTGTCTTGTCTTATCTTATCTTATCTTATCTTATCTTATCTTATCTTATCTTATCTTATCTTATCTTATCTTATCTTATCTTTTCTTTTCTTATAGGTGTTAAAGAAGATCTTATCTTATCTTTTCTTATAGGTGTTAAAGAAGACCGGGGATTATATATCTCAGATGCAGCAGAAAATATCGAAACATCAATCAGAGATCTCAGATCTAAAAACTCAAAACGCGGAGCTGGAGGTAGGGGAAGGTAAAGGTTTCATGGTGTACTGTTCTGCATCGGAGGGACATTTGAACGCTTACAGTCCCTTTAATCAGCTCAAAATCCTATTCATTCATAGAGAAATTATTCTTGCTCATAGGGGAGGGGAGGGGAAACAATAAGCATGTTACTAAATATCTCTTGTAATGGTGTTTAAAATGAAAACCTGATCTGTGAATTTTTTCCGAAATCATATTTTTTCCTTGAAGCTAATTTTTTGAATATTTTATTGCTCATGTGGCTTAAGTAACGGTCTCTCAATGTCCTCTTTGTATTCCTAGTGATTTAAAGACTACATTTGTAATGCTAAAATTGTCTGTTTTAATGAAAGATGATGATTAATTATTTAATATTGCTTTATGCTAAATGCTATAAATGTTGATTGATGTTTTGTATCCAATATAATGATGGTGTAGGCGCAGATACGTGCTATGGAGAAAGCAAAAACTACTTTTGGGAGCTCTTTGCTCAGGAGTGATAGTATTCTTAGCTCCGATATAGATATTACGACTCAGGTAAACTACACTGTACTGTACTTTATATTGTACTTACTGTACTTTATACTGGCTTTACTGTATTGAACTGTGTTTACTCTCCACTAAACCCCACCAGATATTTTGTCAGAGTACTGCAAATCACTGTAGTACACACCATAAATTTTAGTTGAGGGTTTACTGTTTATTGTGTTGTACTGTACTGACTCTTCTTTATATATTTGACTGTATTGTACGGTACCGTACTCATTTTACTAGTAGTGGCCCGGATAACAGAAATGAACTGTAACGTTTGTAATTTGTACTATGCTAAACTACACTGTTGGTAAAATGACTGGACTGGACTGGACTGGACTAGACTGGACTGGACTGGACTGGACTGGACTGGACTGGACTGGACTGGACTGGACTGGACTGGACTGGACTGGACTGGACTGGACTGGACTGGACTGGACTGGACTGGACTGGACTGGACTGGACTGGACTGGACTGGACTGGACTGNGCCCCCCCCCCCTCCCCTCATTGGACCAACTTGCACCATGTTTGACTCAAAGTTCATGTTTAAACTGACGAAACTGACACGATCTATAAATTTTGTTGTAAGGTCATCTCGAGTTTTTGTTTAGGATGTAATATACGAGGATTCAAGCAGTGATACCAGCGATTCAATCGGCCAAATAAATCGTAAGAACCTTGTTAATTTTTAATTTTAATTCTTTTAATTATGAGAAGGATAAATTGATATTTTATTTAAGAGAAATCATTTTTAAAAACTTTGTAATGTAAAAATCTTTCATTTGATTTAATGTTAATTTTTTTTATTACTATTCCACGGAATGTGCATTACAACTTTTAATTGTTTGTAATGTTTTTGTTAATAATATGCTTCTTTAAAAAATATTTTTCTTGATTTTTTTTGCTAGTAAATAATCTACAAAAAAATATTTAAATGAAGTTATGCATTTTTTGGAGTGGACGAAAGTACCTGTAAGAACTCTGTATTTTTTCATGGGTAAGTTGGGTTCGTCTAGATATACGTTACTGTAACGTCAATTAACGTTTATGTGGCCTAACGTTCTGAGAACGTGATTTGGCTAAGTGTTGGGTGGACAGAACTAAAGACTATTAATAACGTCCAATTAAGGATGCCCCGGGATATACCTGTTAAGTATGATTTGATTTGACCAATATTTAGTTGTTGGTGGAGGTATACTAAAGACGATGTCTGGCGTGACCCTGGCTCCGACCTCTATGACTCTGAGTAATGGTTCTGCACTGGGTGGGAGCACTGTGACCCTGACCCCTACTGGGTCAATAGCTCCGGGTCAGAGTCTGCTTCATTCAAGCATCAGAGTCCAACCAGGTTCAAATATATTTCTTCATTTAATATAATGAATTTTTTTATTAGAATCAATTTCAAATTTTTTAACCAATATTGTTTTAGTCTTAAAGGGACTGTAAGCGTAATTTTAAGTGACAATCCATGCAAAGATGACATTTTTGTTTCACAACGGAACCCCTTATAGCTTTGTCTAATCAAGTATGAATTAAAAATCAATGTTTATAATTTTTGAAAACTAATTATTTCTAATATCACAATTAAAAAATTTTAAGCTTTAAGCATATTTAAAAAAGTCAATATCTTCCTTAAAGTTTATCAGATAAAGGTTTCATGGTGTACTGTTCTGCATCGGAGGGACATTTGAACGCTTACAGTCCCTTTAATCAGCTCAAAATCCTATTCATTCATAGAGAAATTTCACTCACTCACTCACTCACTCACTCACTCACTCACTCACTCACTCATTCACTCACTCACTCACTCACTCACTCACTCACTCACACACTACTTACCTTTATTTTTTAAAACAACAACAACAAATGAAAACGGTTGTTCTTCAACTTATTATTTATAGGACAATCTTTGCTTCTGACTGAGCCTATGAGGAAGAAGAAGAAGATTAATTAGTTCGGATTCGTATTCCTTTAACTATCCTTTCCTTACGCCATCATCTTCCTTCCGCCATCATCCTCCTTCCGCCACATCTTCCTTCCGCCATCATTTTCCTTCCGCCATCATTTTCCTTCCGACATCATTTTCCTACGCCAACATTCTCCTTACGCCAACATCTTCCTTTCAACACAATTTTCCTTCCGCCATCAGTTTCCTTTCGCCATCATGTTTCTTCTGCCATCATTTTTATGATTTTCAGTAGTCAATCATCATCAAACCCGTCTGCCATCTTCAAGCACATTGGGTCATCATTCTTTTTGTCTCTCCTCCTATTACATCAATAGTTTTACGTTCCTTGCTTGTTATCTTGTTAGTACTAACGTTTAACTTCAAAGCTGCCTTATATATTGATGTTTAAATACTTTTCATTAACAAATCTAATTCCTTTCATCTTTGCAGATAATTTTCTGATCCAGCTGACATCCTAGTATATAATCGGGGGGATTATATAGAATAGAAATGTGTTTTTCTAGAAGGAAAATAATTTTTATAGATTTTCATGCTTCCTAAATTCGACACTATTCTACATGGATACGATTAAATATATCTAATTGTCTTCACTTGACCCAAAAAATTGTCCCACGAAATATATAGAATCATGGGGCAGTTACTGAGGGTGAAGGAGAGTCAAGATATTGTATTCTAGGACAAAGCTGTGATCCATTCATTCCTTTTATTTTATAATTCATCACTCCTCTTCTTTTGGATTGTTTTTCATCACAGAAGGTATCTTCAGTCTTTACTTAAATCTTCTCCCACTTCACTCCTCATCCGTAATATTTGAGATGCGATTTTAGATAAATGTCTAGTAACCTTTTAGCTCTATTTTTTACTTAAATGGTTGCTCAGATTTTTATTTGCATAATTGACTATTCGCTCTCATTTGAATCCTGGTTATTAGTTCTCATTGGAGTCCTGGTCATTAGCTCTCGATAGAGTCATGGTCATTATCTCTCATTTGACTCTTGTCCATGAGCTCTCTTTTGAGTTGTGACCAGTTAGTTCTCATTTGGGTCATGGCCATTAGATCTATAAGGAGCCGTGGCCAGTGGTTCTCATTGGAGTCATGGCCATTGGCTCTCATTTGAGTCCTAGTTATTAGCTCTCATTGGAGACATGGTCATTAGCTCTCATTGAAGTCCTGGTTAATAGCTCTCTCATTGAAGTCGTGGCCATTAGCTTCCGTTCGAGTTTTGACCAGCAGTTCTCATTGGAGTCATGGTCATTATATCTCTTAGGAGTCCTGGCCAGTAGTTCTAATTGGAGTCTTGGTCATTAGCTCTCATTTGAGTCCTAGCAAAAAGTTCTCATGGAATTCTGGCTTTAGGCTCATATTGGAGTCCTGGTCATTATCTTAGGCTATAAGAACTCGTTAGAGTCCCTTAGTGCATGGGGCATTTACTTTTACACTTTGTATCAACATTTATAGATGTTCTTTAGACGCCAATTTAAAATAAATCGTCAAACGACGTCTTTTATCGTCAGGAAGATGTCTCTAAAATGTTTTCGGTAAATCAATTTTTTTTTGTTTTAATATGTTTTTTTTTTCAGACACCATGGCAACTAACGTTCGGGCTTTACATTGGGTTTTCAAAATCGGGAAACGGCGTGAAGCAGTGGATTTTTATAAAAATATTTTAGGGAACCCTGTCGTAAATTAACTTATGTTTTGTAACATAAAAGTTTAGCTTTTAAAGAACTGTAGATGTAATATCGTCGTTCTTTAGCTTGAAAATTGTTTGATTTTTAAAATCATTTTTGTTTTATCTGCAGAAGAAATTCGTAAAGTAACAACCTGCTATTCATATAATCAGATTCTTGAAACTTAAGAATTGATTTGATCATTTATCTTTATGTTCTTGATTTAAATTTCTACTCGGTTGAGCAGGGATGAAGGTTCTAAGACATGAAGAGTTTGAGAAAGGATGCGAGGTAAATAATTTAACATACAATTAAGCATGTTTTAGGATCCGGATCCGTTGAATCCGAAATATTTTGGCTTCCTTGATCCGGATCCGCAAAAATATGCTAATTCACGGTTCCGGATCCAAGGGGCAAAATGTCGACCAGAGAGTGCAAACAAAAATCTTTTACTCTTAAAGCCCAAATCTAAACTAAATAAACTGAAAATTCTGATACTGGTAAAAAAATCAGGAAATTTTAAAGAAATGTGTGTATCCAATCCTGGATCCGAATCCGGATTAATTTTTTTTTTCCTGTGGGGATCCAGGATCAGGATCTGCATCAAAAATAAATGGATTCTAGCAGTGCAATCAACAACGCTTTTTGTGTTACAGTCTGAAAAAAAAACAATTAACAATCTTCTATTTAGAAGATCTGAAATTAGATGTAAATATTAATTAAACTCTAAGTTAAATAATAATTTATTGTTTTCTAGGCTGCCTGTAACGGGCCCTATGATGGTCGCTGGTCAAAAACAATGATAGGTAATTATAGAAAATTTGATTTGCACAGCTGTTGGATTTAGGTGACAAGGAGCTTAATTTTTTCATTTTAAAACATTAATCATAAAGATTCTCTGCTCTGAGCTCAGAGCTGAGATCTTTTGGTTGGATACTCGTAATCCCGACTGCTTGATCTCGATATCCACAGAGACAGAGAATCTGCTTGATCTCTTGGTTTTGAATAACCCTACTTTCATTGGTTGAACGCAAAAATAGTTAGCTTCTGATTGGATGTTCATTTTCCGCACTTTACGGGATACATCAAATAAGGATTAAGATTAAATAATCTGTAGATTTACGCAAGATCAAGATCAATGCTGGATCTAGATATCCACGAATCAAGAATTTCCGGCTCTGGGAAAATTAGAGATCAGTTGTTTTTTCATGGATTAAATATGTAAATTGTTTAATTTATTATGATTCACTAAAACATTATAAAAGTTTAAAATTTTCTTCGAGCTAGTTCAGATTGAAATTTGAAAAATTTTTATCATGCATTAGAAAAGCCTACGTCCAACACCCTATTTTAATTTCGAACTATTAAATGAGTAAATTATTTTGCGTTGTTACTTTGGAAACTGTACAAAGGTGAACATTGTAATGTATATTCATAATGAAAGTATTGATTTTGCCCATAAACTAAGGTTTTTAAAATAGGATTGGAACACCTGCCAAAACCTTTAATTTTCTATTCCATATATCTTTGCAACCTATTTGATAATTTTAAACTAAAACTGATTTAACTCAATTGTAGTTTAAAATATCGAAGGTTTACAAAATTTGGGTTGTAAAGATACAGTGATAACCAGAAAACTCTAAAATAGGAAGACTCGATGATAAATGATACACAGCAATTGTGCACTGACCCTGACCCTGATTTGATTTGATTTTAGTAAAACTATTTTCTTTGTTTTGTAACAACATTTAATACACTTAAGTATTGTTACAATGTCGTCCTCCTATTCCATTGTTTTTGGTTAGCTCTTTATAGTGTATACTGAATAATGAACAAAAATCGAGTTTGTGTCAAGCAGTGATTGATCCGGAATCTGGATCCATTGGATCCGTAACATTTTAGCTTTCTGGATCCGGATACACAATAAAATGGGGATCAACGGATCCGGATCCAAGGCAAAATATCAACCAAAAACTACAAATAAATCTTTTCCTTTCAAAACCAAAATCTGAACTGTTGAAAAATGAAAGGTTAACAAAAATTGCCTTGTCTTCATAAAGTTATTCCAAAAAATAAGTGAGAAAATTTTTTTTAAAAAGTAAAAATTATTCGAAATTTTTTCCTCTGTTCAAAAATCAGTATACATTGAATAAATGTCCATGGCCTGGATCCGGTTCCGGACTTGTATCCGGATCCATTTTTTTCAATTTGTATCGATCTCAAACACTGGTGACAGTATTATGTTGTTTTTTTAATTAACTAGGTTATGGACCAGAGGATTCACATTTTGTACTTGAGTTAACATACAATTACAACATTAACAGCTACAAGCTTGGAAACGATTTCCAGGTATTATTACTTTAAATTTAAAAAATACGGCTCGGGTATAAGCTGTCGTTGGGCCTTATACAAGACAAGAGCTTTCGGATTCAAGCTCTTCAAGTTGCATCTTTTTTTCCTCATAGTTGAGTTCTAAAAAACGGTATAATATTCTATTCTTAAGTCGAGCCTAAGATCTTGCAGCTGTCAATCATGTGACACACGCTGTCGTCAGAGTTGGGTCTTAAAGTCGGGTTTAAAGAATTACGACTCGAGCCGAAGTTTTTAAATCGCTGGCTCAGTTATTTTAGAAATTTTATCATATGTCTCTAAGTGTAGATCATAGTTTATTGTGTTTTGCCGGAATGGCAAAAAAGATTATATTGGTTTGGTTGGTTAAATTGGGGGGAAGAAAACAGAAGGGAGGAATGATGTAGATGAAGTTGATATGTATGAAGGTGGGGGTGGTAGCTGTTGTATCCAATCTATCTANTCTCAACTTTTGTTCTTGGGTTAATTTTAAGTGATATACTAAATCTTGATTTTTTTATTGATCTTAGCTCAACTTTAACTGTTTTACTTAATCTTGATTTTTCTATTGATCTTGGCTCATCTTTAATAGTTTTATTAATTTTTGTCTTCACTATTGTTCTTGATCTTGGTTCATCTTTTGTTCTTGGGTTAATTTTAAGTGATATACTAAATCTTGATTTTTTTAATGATCTTGGTTCAACTTTAACTGTTCTACTAAATCTTGATTTTTCTATTGATCTTGAGCTGGGAACTGTAGAATGGTGGGATATCGGGATTAAGGCTTAATCCACTCTTTTTCTTAATCTCGAGATTAAATAATGCTTGTTCTCCTCTTGTTATTAATCTCCATATTGATAAACCGATCGGGATTAAGGATATCCCATTCTAAAGTTTTCAGCTCTGGCTCAACTTTAACTGTTTTACTAAATCTTGTGTTTACTATTAATCTTAATCATTTATTGATCTTCTATTAACTTCTTATTGACCTTCCATTGATCTTTTATTGAACTTGTATTGAACATATATTGATCTTTGATAAATCTTCTAATAATCTGAAGGTCTATTGATCTTCTTTTGTTCTATTAGTGATTTTCTTTTGATCGTTAACTGATCTTTCGAAGATCTTTAAATTATCTGGATTATTTTCGATGGGCGGGGAAAATATAACTAGTTACTAGTAATAAAACCACCAAAAATATAACTATTCAAAATATAACCATGTTTTGAACAAAAATGTAACTATCTATAATATAACCATTAGAAATATAACCAAACAAAATATAACTGACCAAAAGTATAACCTTTTTTTTCCAAAATATAACCGTTTTTTACCAAAATATAACCATTTTTACCAAAAATATAACCATTATTTAACACAAAATATATCCATTTTTATCCAAAATTGTTACTATTTTTAGTCAAAAATATAACCAATTTTGTAACAAAAAGTATAACCGTTTTTTAGCCAAAAATATAACCATTTTTTAGCCAAAAATATAACCATTTTTAGCCAAAAATATAACAATTTTTAGCCAATTTTTAGCCAAAAATATAACCATTTTTAGCCAAAAATATAACCATTTTTAGCCAAAAATATAACCATTTTTTAGCCAAAAATATAACCTTAGCCAAAAATATAACCATTTCTTAGCCAAAAATAAAACCTTTTTTTAGCCAAAAATATAACCATTTTTAGCCAAAAATATAACCATTTTTTAGCCAAAAATAAAACCATTTCTTAGCCAAAAATAAAACCTTTTCTTAAAAATAAAACATTTTTACCAAAAATATGACTATTTTTTTACTGAAAATATAACCATTTTTATCATTAAATATAACCATTTTTAAACCGTAAATATAACCATTTTTAAACCGGAAATATAAACTTTTTTTATAACTATTTTCTGAAATAAGAATATAGTACTTTTTTAACCAAAAATATAACCATTTTAACCAAAAATACAGCAATTTTTTATCCAAAAATATAATCATTTCTCAACTAAAAATATAACTGTTTTTTAACCAAAAATATTAACATTTTTTAACTTGAAACTTTACCCTTAAGCGCGTTTCTAATGATGAGAATTTCATTAATGCGTAAATGCGATTCCTCTGAATTTTATCAAATAAGTCATAAAATGCTCTAACAATAAACAGAAAATGTTCTTGTTAATATAAGAAACTTCGCTATTTACGAAGAATCAGTGTCAAGTATCTATCTCAACACATTCCTTTCCTCTTAGACTCACTTTAGTGGATAAGAGTGGGCATAGGTATATAATACATACCTGTAAGAGAGTATGAATGAGAAGGATCCAACAAGTATACATGTAAAGTCTGCTTATATTGACTGGCAGATAAAACCTACTTTTGGTCAAATATGGTTATATTTTTGGTCGCTATATTTTTAATAAAAAATGGTTACATTTTTGGTCGAAAATTTGGCTAAAAAATGGTCAAAAAAAGTTATTCTTTTGTTAAAATAAATAGTTATATTTTTGGTCAAAAATGTAAATTTTTTGGTCAAAAAAAGAAATATTTAGGTCGAAAATGGTTACATTTTTGGTTGGTTATATTTTTGGTCTCTTATATTAATGTCAGTTTTTTTGTCGTTATAATTTTTGGTTGTTATATTTTCCCCACCCATCTTACTTTCACCCAGGGAATAACAATCCAATCCAGCGAGGTTTTATCCCGAGCTAGAGCAGCCTCTCTACCGGTAACGGAGAAGGACGGAGTGTCCTCTATCCTCTCACCTTCGGGATATAAATTCATCCTCGTGGATCAGCCTCAGCCTGTTAATAGGTAAGTGATTAGATGATATCATTATAAACTAAGACAAGTTGACCCTTTTTTTTGGCGCACCACTAGCTATTAAGCTGCAGGACCTTCTCTAGCTTTTTGATTTTATTTTATATGGTTTGGTTTGGTTTGGTTTGGTTTGGTTTGGTTTTATTTGATTTCATAATTTTGAATTGTGTACTGTATGAACTCAACTTGATTTACACCGAACTATGACCTGTATGTATACTGTATGTTTAATGTATGAACTGTATGCTGTTTGTATACTGAATAAACAATGTACTGTATGTATATTGGATGAACTGTTTACTGTATGGACTATGCACTGTATGAACTATATACTGTATGCACTATGTACCGTATGCACTATGTACCGTATGCACTATGTACTGTATGAACTTTGTTCTGTATGAACTATGTACTGTACAGGGATCCTGTACTGAGTGTTGGTATCTCTGTATCTAATATAGAGAAGAGTGTACTCTACTGGAAGGATCTTCTTGGTATGCAAGTTGTTCAGGTAAGAGTAAGACCATTATCTGAATATATAATCGGCTTGTGTGTTATTTTGTATCCAAGAAATGTCAAGATAGCTATACTAATCAGACACAAATTTGTTTGGTAACTCAGTTGACTGCCTATGAGGGAAATAACTTATGGAAAGGCGAATTAAGCTGATATATTTTTGGAAATGCACCAAGTAAACAGAAAAATCCCCAATTCACGTATTTTTATGTATGATGAAAAAGCTTTGCAGTTTGAAAGGCATTCAAAGGATAAAATAATCACAAGAAAAAGAAGCTAATCATCTAGTAACATCACATTTTTTTATTTCATAATTCCATGACCTAACATCAGTTCTATGTTTTCAATAATCATAGTTGTAAAAAGCCTATCTTAATCGAAACTTAAATTGGTGGGACACCCTTTATATTTTCAGGAAATTTTGCTTCAAGATTTATCCATTTAAGACTTTGATTTTGACAACATTTTCCAGATTAAACACATTTCTTATTGTAGGAAAAGGAGCGAGAGAAAACTCTTCAATTTGGATCCAACCAGGCTAAACTAGTTCTAAAACAGGTTAGTAAAGGGATCCAACCAGGCTAAACTAGTTCTAAAACAGGTTAGTAAAGGGATCCAACCAGGCTGAACTAGTTCTAAAACAGGTCAGTAAAGGGATCCAAACAGACTAAACTAGTTCTAAACCAGGTTAGTAAAGGAATCCAACCAGGCTAAACTAAAACTGAACCAGGTTAGTAAAGGGATCCAACCAGGCTAAACTAGTTCTAAAACAGGTTAGTAAAGGGATCCAACCAGGCTAAACTAGTTCTAAAACAGGTTAGTAAAGGGATCCAACCAGGCTGAACTAGTTCTAAAACAGGTCAGTAAAGGGATCCAAACAGACTAAACTAGTTCTAAACCAGGTTAGTAAAGGGATTCAACCAGGCTAAACTAGTTCTAAAACAGGTTAGTAAAGGGATCCAACCAGGCTAAACTAGTTCTAAAACAGGTTAGTAAAGGGATCCAACTAGACTAAACTAGTTCTAAACCAGGTTAGTAAAGGGATCCAACCAGGCTAAACTATCTATGTTTGCGTAGAAACGTGAAGAACGTAGAAGAAAAAACTCCAAATGTCAAGAACGTGTTTTCAGGACCCATCCAACTGGTTTCTAATATCTTATAGTTGCATAAAAATATCTCTCATAACCCACCCAACCAAGCATGATATTCATGACCCAGCCAAATATTGGTGATTGTTTAAGAATGGTATTTAGGGCCTACCTAACCAGGGTATGGTCGTTAAAGAATGATATATAGGACCTACCTAACCAGGGATGGAGGAATGGTTGTTAAAGATTATTATTCAGGAGCCACCTAACCAGGAATGGTTATTAAAGATTAATTTTCAGGGGCCACCTAACCAGGAATGGTTGTTCAAGATTATTATCCAGGAGCCACCTAATCATGAATGGTTGTAAAGATGAATAATTATTATTTAAGGTGGTGAGCTGCAAGGTCTGGAGGCTAAGGTACAGGAGGCTGGTGGGACTATACTAACTCCCTACATAACTCTAGACACTCCGGGAAAGGCCCAGGTACAAATAATTTAATGTTTTATTTTTTTATTATTCTATTTTATTTTCATTAATTTTCTTAAAATTATTTTTTAATATTTGGATTTATTTAAGATCGGTTCTGGGACTGAATTTCATGAATTCAAGAGATCGCTGATCTACCTACCACCTGTTCAAATTCTGAATCACAGATTTACATAATCTTGAATTTTTAACTTTAATATCGGTGATTCAGAATTTGAATCGGCGGTAGGTGGTTCAGCGACTCAGCTAAAATTAATTAAATTCGGTCCCTTATCAGTAAAATTCGTTTTATCGTGTCTGATTTGAAGTAGGAATAAGATCAACTATGACGATCTGATAAGATTCAGCTAAATTAAATTTCATTAAGAATTAAAATATTAACATAGTCCGTGTATAGGTTCAGGTTGTTATTCTGGCTGATCCTGACGGTCAAGAAATCTGTTTTGTTGGTAAATATTGTTTTCTAATATTCAAATATTTATTTCAATATTTTGCAACATTTCTTATCGCATAGTTAATATATGTACATAACATGTTTTATAACGTGTTGTACAGCGCACAATATTTCTTAGATAAGAACATGTTTTAGGTTTTTTAGTTTAAATTTGTTGTCAGTTTCATTGACAGAGGGGGAAATAAATAAAGAAATTGATTTACGATTGTTTTGCATCTTGTTTGGGTGCATAGATAATCGTTTTCCAGTCTCCAGCATCTGCTTGTTTTTCTCGATTCAGCTGGATTTTTTTCTGATAAAATTGATAAAAGTTTGATACCTTCATGAAATTAAAATATCCGACCACAACGGGCTTGATTGGTTCAGCCATTTTAGCGTTTATTGGATAGAAACGAAACATTGAGGCAGATAAATCACCATTTTGAATCCTTCTCAAATTTTCGCGATTTTTGTTTACATTGTTACATTTTCAAAAATAATAAATATTGACATTTTTTTCGGTCAAAGCTTTTCAATTTTGACGGACCATAAACTTTCCTTTTGGTCATGAAATTTTCCATTACAATGTTTGGACCCGATCTTTCCAGCCGTTTTGACGTTTATTGGACACGAGCAGACGGATCGGACAGTCATATATTTATGTATATTGCTGATATCAGGTGATGAGGGGTTTAAAGATCTGTCTCAGTTTGACCCTCTTGGGGACGAGTTACTCATCAAGGCCATGGACGAGGATAAGAGTGACGAGTGGTTCAACAAGAAAGGACGAACAAAGCTTTCAGAATAGAAGACTCAGATACACTATTTCAAAGTCTAATATTACTAGACGTACAAAAAGAAAATGTTGTTGAATTAATTTTAAAATATTTTCATCGTTATTACATTTTTTCTTGTCCATAAACAACACAAATGTGAGTTAAAAGAAATTATTCTTTTATAATTTTTTTGGACTTCTTATTAAATTATTCTTTGATAATTTGTTTGGACGTCTTTTAAAATTATTATTTTGTAATTTGTATAGACGTCTTCTAAAATTATTATTTTAAAATTTGTTCGGGCGTCTTCTAAAATTATGATTTTATAATTTGTTCGGACGTTTTGTAAAATTATTCTTTTAAAATTTGTTTGGACGTCTTCTCTTATTAAATTATTATTTTATAATTTGTATAGACGTCTTGTAAAATTATTCTTTTAAAATTTGTTTGGGCGTCTTCTAAAATTATGATTTTATAATTTGTTCGGACGTCTTGTAAAATTATTCTTTTAAAATTTGTTTGGACGTCTTCTCTTATAATTTGTTTGAACGTCTTCTAAAATTATTCTTTTATAATTTGTTTGGACGTCTTATAAAACTTTTCTTTTATAATTTGTTTGGACGTCTTGTAAAATCATTCTTTTATAATTTGTTTGGACGTCTTGTAAAATTATTCTTTAATAATTTATTTGGACGTCTTGTAAGATTATTCTTTTATAATTTGTTTGGACGTCTTGTAAAATTATTCTTTTATAATTTGTTTGGACGTCTTGTAAAATTATTCTATTATTTGTTTGGACGTCTTGTAAAATTATTCTTTTATAATTTGTTTGGACGTCTTGCAAAATTATTCTTTTATAATTTGTTTGGACGTCTTATAAAATTATTTTTTAATAATTTGGTTGGAAGTCTTGTAAAAATATTGTTTAATAATTTGTTTGGACGTCTTGTAAAATTATTCTTTTATAATTTGTTTGGACGTCTTGGGAAATTATTCTTTGAGCAGAGAAGTCTAGTGTCCAGGCTTAAATATTATAACTCTATTTATAGACCATACTGCACCAAACAGCAAGTCAAATTTGTAAACTTGATTACCGAACTGTGATTAAAAAAAGTTATGTGATTTAATGATAAACAAGCAGTTTTATATATTTTGTAAAAAAATTTGAATTGGGTTGAGGGGGTTGGTTGGAATTTTGATCCTAGGGGTAAAATAATTATTGTTATTAAATGATAAAAATTTAATTTTTCTAGATTTCAATGTAAAATATTTGATACTGCGGTACAATGCAGAATTCAGAAACCAGGATACCTTCAGTTAACCTGGAGACAACTACTGTACAGTGTATTAGCTAGGCCTACTTCTTATATCTTCATGGACACTGTACATATGGTACATAAATAATACTAGCTAGGGTAGTGAAGCAATGTGGACTTCACATTTGTAATTATTCTAAACATAAACATCTTCACTCTCCAGTGAATGACTGAAAAAGTCTGAAAGTGAGTCAACGATCGGAGTTCTAATGTTAATATGGCAGAAAATGAAGATTTCAGTCTTGCGGAATTTTAAGTGAAAAATATTATCCCTGCAGGGAATATTTCCGAGGTAACCTACAGTGAAACCCTTAATAACGAATACATCGGAAGAATTTATCAAATGTCGTCTTGACAATTTTTCAATGAGTTTTATACTATATTACGTAAATTTCAGTATTTGCGAAAATAAATAAATAGCCATGAATATGCGGGAACAGTTTTAAAGAGTTCCATATAATCATTTAATTAAAAAACTAAATATCTGCAACATTCCATTATCAGAAAGTGAAGAATACGACATTTGATGAATTCTTTCGATGTATTCGTTATTAAGGGTTTCACTGTATAAATTTAGTATTGTACCATTCAATGTTCAGAATCCATATCATTTTAATCTGAATCAGTCTTGTAAAAAAAATGGATCCGGATCCAACACATGAATATTAATTATTGCACTTGAGGTCCTCGAGATTGATGAATAAATATAAAATAAGAAATAAGAATTAAAAAATCCTCTAGGAATGTGATATAGTCTTTATATGCGTTGGAGGAAAGTGTAATAAACAAATTTATTGTTATGATATTTAAACAAAAACCGGGGAATAACAATATTAAAAAAAAAAAAATTTTGTTATTACACTTCTTTCTTTCTACGCATAATAATAGAATATTTCATAAGTTTTGGAAATTAACGAATTTTAAAAAAATTTTCTTATTTATATTTACAAACTTTATTATTGCCGAGAGTGTCGACCCCTATTCTAACAAATGAAGGGTTCTGTTTTATTATTTATAATAATACTAATGTTCTATAAAAAAGATTAATATTCTCAATAGTAGACGGTGACAATTAAAATATGAGCTTAATATCTTTCTGAAGTTTTCATTTCTTTTTTTAACATTTGGATCCGGATCCTTAGCACTAGATTATTTACTTCTGGACTATTTCTACAGATCTATTAATCTACAGATCTGTTAATCCTTTCAAGAACAATCGTTGTAACTAGAAGTTTCCCTCAACTTACACAACTGTCCCCTTTAACCTGTTATCCGTTCAATAATGTGGAAGATATCGTAGATTTTTGACTCAAAGTTTCTCGCAATTTTTTCTATTAATTCCGTGGGGAATAAATAACCTCCAAGATGTTCTATAAAGAACCCTCAATTGAATAAACCAATATTCTAGAATTAAATAATTATATTTTATTTATTCTTGTTAGGGCAAAGCTTTTAACAGAACCGTTGTAATTGGAAAATCACTTTAAATTACTTCTACAGTACATATAAAAAGTTTTTATTTTAGATGTTTTTGTTCACATTTATCTGTTTGTTTATTCACATTTTTTATTTTGATGCCAAAACCTAATATTTGGTCAAATGTTGAGTCAAATTTACAAATTCTAGTCGGGATTGAACCCAGAGATAAGACAGTACAGTGCAGAGATTATAAAAGGCTAGAATTTGCAATATTTTCCACAGCAGGTTCCATTGTGTACAATTGGAGTACACGACTAATAGACAGACGTCTGTATTCAGTAATATTTAAGGATCCTTTCGATATGAAATATAAAACCTTCAAAAATAGATTAAATTCATAAATTTTATGTTCTTCAAAATTAGTAAAATTTAACCCCTGAATGGGTATTATATGCAACAAGTGGTCGTTAGATGGCAGTCAATAACCTTTCATTGAAATGTAGCATGTCTTGCCGGGACGACTATATGTCTGATTAGACTATCCGGTGAGAGCATGAGTATAGAATAGAAGGAAGATATAACTGACGCGGTTCGCCCTACCATATGATTATACATGCTTTGCAGACGATACTTTCTTTTGTATAAGAAATATTTGTCTAATAAACAATTACCGCGTATACAATAACCTATTCTGAATATTTCTTATACAAATGGAGTACTGTCTGCAAAGCATGTATAATCATATGGTAGGGCGAACCGCGTCAGTTATATCTCCCTTCTATTCCATACTCCCTGGGTGAGAGCTTATATACAGTCCTTGTACATCTAGTCTGTTATTGAACTTGTGCCGAGTATCTGGTCCGAGTTCAAGTTCTTCACCAGTTAAATAATCTTGAATTGTGAGAAACATTTCAGAATTTTTAAAATCTTTTTTTTTTAAATTGTAGTATTTGACCCTGAGTGTAGTGTAGAGAATGACTCTAAGAAAGATGAACCTGATCAGGATTCTAGGGAAATGTGTCTAAAGAAGAATTTTGCTTCGTCAAGGTAAGCTCAGATTGTTATATTTCTAACTAGCTGAAGTGCCCGGCGTTGCCCGTGAATTTCAGAAAATTTGAATTTAAAAAATAATGATTTTTGAAACAAAAGTCGATTAAAAAACAATCCGATTTTAAAAAATCAAAAAATCGATTTTTTTCAATAAAAATCGTCAAAATGTCGTAGACCTTTTTATATGTCTTACAACGAATTCTGTGAGCTCAAACAGTCTTAGTTAAAATATCAATGATTTACATTATCAGGTTGCAAGGATATAGGGATTAGAAAATTTAAATGTGTGGCAAAAACTTAATTCCTTTAGGGATAAATGCTAGATCCATCTGCACTCTGCAGGGTATGACCTCGACGGGAAATCGAAAATGAATCCTTAGGTCTGCATAAGATCACATAGATTCAGTCTGCTATAGTAATGCATCAATTTTTAAGTCAGGGTTGACTTTGAAGTGTCGCAACGCGTTGGGCTTTCATTTTACCGCTGTAATGTGCAATGCACATTTTAAAACTATAAAGCACTTACCTTTAACTATACTTTTTAAAAAGTAATTGGCAAAATTCTCAACGATTTTTTGCGCGAGAGCTTTCAACCTTTAAATCACAGTGAGATGCAGAATAATAAAGTTCTGACTGCAGGTGTCATTTTCCACCTATTTCGGCTGCCACTGTAAATAAAAATAAAGAAACTTCAAAAAAATGATGAAATACTAAAAAACTATTTTTTCAGACAAAAATTCGAGAATCTGCCATTTTATCTGAAACCCTATGTTTACATGATGCCTGGTAGTCATGTACCATTCACAGGAACACACATTATTATTATTATTATTTTTATTATTTTTATAATTATAAATTAAGCATTTTCAAGTATGAAAAAAGTCAAACCCCTTAAAAATGTCATTTAATTGCAAAAAGAACCGTGCAAAAATTTTATAAATGATTATGTTTGTAAATAAATTTCTTTTTCATCTTTTTCATATATATTCAAATGTTTGTGTACAATAGGGTTGGACTTGAGATACCAATACAACACTTTCAAAAAATTGAAGTAAGTTAGAAATTAGAATTATTACAAAAGGACTTTTTTTAATTTTAATTTTTAAGAAAATAAATGAAGAAAGAAAATAATTTAAACATTTCTCATTGAGTTGAAAATAATTCCTTCTCTTAAAAGTATATTTTCTTGCGATAGCATAAACTCTATGTAGAGCGGAAACTTTTAATTTGAAGCGATTAACTTATTAAGTGCTTAATCCAAATAGCCTTATCTTATTTTAAGCGATCTCTCATTGCCCGATAACAGGGGTGTTTCAATTTAAAGAATTAACTTTATCTGTCAAACCACAAAAAATATATGCATTAGAGCTTTATGAGGAGATTAACAATCATAACATTGATTCAAATCTAAATCTAAATAACATTGATATATTTAGATTCCGTTTAAAAAACATGAACCAGAACGTGTGCCCTGAACGAACAGAATTTCTCGCCAACTCTCCCTGTAATCCCAGGTTAGAGGAATTCATTCTTAAAGGGACTTTAAACGTTATTTTATAAAGACTTCATTTATTGAGTGTCATGTTTGATTCACAGTCATACTCGTTCTAGCTTTGTCTGATCAATAATGCATGCATGATATATAGTCATCTTCTCTTTGATTTCTTTATAAAGCATTTGTTTAATATGATATAATAAAACTCTTTTTATTACATTGATTATTAAAAGCCTTGTAAAAAATCTAATAAACTATATTAAGTCGAAAGTTTCAACAAATATAAATTTTGATGATAATGTTAAATGATCAATTATAATTAAATATAATTTTTATAATAATTTTCCTACTTTTAGGTGTGTAGTGATAGATAGATCGAATAGTTTGCCTATTCCTGGACTTCTAGACAATCTTTCTTTTCTAACCTATGATTGCGAGGTAAGGAATATTATCCAAATAGGATATTCATATATTCCACTAGAGATTGAAATATTCCGCTAGAGGTTGAAATATTCCGTTAGAGATTGAAATATTCTTCTAGGGATAGAAATATTCCGCTAGTGTTTGAAATATTGTGACAGAGATTGAAATATTCCCAAAGAGATTGAAATATCCGTTAGTGATTGAAATATTTCCCAAGAAATTAAAATATTCCTCTAGAGATTGAAATACTTCCCAAGAGATTGATATACTCCTCTAAAAATTAAAATATTCGTTAGAGATCGAAATAGATGCTAGAGATTGAAATATTCAGCTAGAGAATGAAAATTTTCGTCAGAAATTAATTGTAAAAATAATAATTGGTCGAATGAAACATCTTTACTTTTGATCAAATTTTGGCCAAAGAAACGGTTTAGCTCGTTTAAGTTTCTCTTATCTCAAGTTTTCTTTATCTAAGGTTGGATTTTATATCTCTGGTAAAGACGATCAGAAGAGTTGGATTGAGACGTCAGGAGATGATTATCTGCTAAGTGTGTGTGCAGACGGTTCCTCCGGAACTGTTTGTGGAGAGTATACATTTCAGGTAATTTCTTATTATTCGTACAAAGATCTTGTAATTGTATACTTATATAATGCAACAGTAAACAAAGATAAGTAAATCTCATATATAAAAATAACAATATTAATTCATTATAAGAATACTTCTCTTCAGACCTGATTTAATGAAGTAAAAATGTTGCTTTTATTTAAGAAACATTCGCTGGCTTAAAACCATTTTATAACGTGACTTAATGCTTAAATAAAATCATCAGGTGGAATTTTTAAGATATTTTGCTTTTTGCTTTTTTCTTTTAATCATGAAAAAAAATGTATTTTTGTTGGTTAGGTTCCATCTCCGCTCCATTTAAACAAGACAGATGACCCCCCTGTAATAGTTCTACTCGACAAACAGGTGAGCAACTTTGATGAATAAGAGGAAACAAATGAAACAAGATTTAAAAGTTTTTGATACTTTTTTTCAAAAAAAACTTCCTTTCCTTTTCCTTTTTTTTTGTTCTTAAGAAAACCCTTGAAAATAAGAAAACATAACAAACTTCTTGAGAAAATATATTTTTTTAAACTAAATTTATCATTTTGTCAATCTTAAACTTCATTTTTATTTTTCTAGGAATTTGAGAATAAAGATAAAATTGTTATTTATGTCCCAACCTCACAGAAGGCAGATACATTTAGTGTCAGGTAAACTTATATTCAAGCAGAGGATCAGTAGGGGCATAGTTAGGGACAGTAGGAGGGGCAGGGATAGGAGAAGAGGATCAGTAGGGGCAGGGATAGGAGAAGGGGATCAGTAGGGGCAGGGATAGGAGCAGGGGATCAGTAGGGGCAGGGATAGGAGAAGGAGATCAGTAGGGATGTAGTTAGGGATAGTAGTAGCGGCAGGGATAGGAGAAGGGTACAAGTAGGGGCATAGTAGGGATAGTAGTAGGGGCAGGGCTAGGAGAAGGGGACAAGTAGGGGCATAGTTAGGGATAGTAGTAGGGGCATAGTTAGGGATAATAGCAGGGGCAGGGCTAGGAGTAGGGGACAAGTAGGGGCATAGTAAGGTATAGAAGAAGGGGTAAGTATAGAAAAAGGGGTAGGAATAGGAGAAGGGTTTAGGTTTAGGAGAAGGGTAGGTTTTGTAGACGGGGTAGCTAAAGGATGAGGAGTAGGTATAGGTCGGTATAGGATAAGAAGGGGAATGGGCTGTGATGGGATAAAAGAAAAGTCAAATTTTATACATTGTATTAAATTAATAGGCAATAACATGGTTCATTGTTCTAGAACTATTAAAGCTTTTGGACTCCTGAAAGGCATAACAAAACTACTGTTAGGATGCAAATATTCCAACATTTCAAAACTTCTGTCAAATTTTGATTTTATTATATCTATACCAAATTTTATCCTAAGAGAAAATGTCTGGATAAAACTTCGTTCGTTTTTTTGCATTTATGTTCTCTCGGAGTCAAAAATTGGCATAGTTGGCATATTGTAAGGAAAACAAATGATAAGAATAAACAATTTTATCAATTTCGTAAAATCAGATTCTTTAAAACTTTAAAACCATAAATAATGAAAAAGCTGTCGCAAGTAATTTCCCATCTCTAGTAACAGCTTCACATTGAATAATTCTTGTTCTGCAGTGTACTGTTAGTATCGGATAACCAGAGCAGTACAGTTGTGAGTACACAAGAGAACCCTATTCCACCTGGTGCCGGTCCTGTACTCAAGATCTTAGTAGAGCATAATATTCCTAGCGGAAGGTAGGATATCAGGGTTTACACCAGCTGATCCATTGAATCCGCAATATTTTAGCTCCCCGGATCCGGATTCAAGGGGCAGAGAAATTACAGAAAATGTGTGCGCTAGATCTGTATACGGTTTTTTACAGGTTGGATCCGGATCCATTTTATTACTGCACAGACACAAGTATCCGGATTCTCACTGGTTTAAACCGAATAATTGAAGTTCTTTTCCATTTGCATTTTTTTCATGTTGTTGATCAAGTTCAACGCCATCATTATTTCAAGGCTTAATTAGGTTCATTTTAATGATCAAGAAGAAGCATGACTCGGCAGGTATATTTCAATGATAGCAAGCGAAATTGGAAGAATTTAATATAATGAAAATTATATTTAAATTAATATATCAAAGCCTTTCCCTATTTGGTAGATGTTTAAAAGTTAATTATTGTTCCTTAAAATCGTTTAAATTAATGAAAACCTAGATAAGTCGACATAGATTAGCTAGTAGTGAGTAGACCTCAAGTCCTGACTAAATACCTTTAATTTTTAACACTTATCTCGATATTCAACGTGGGCATTTAAGGTATCCCTGCAGGGTATGACCACAATGTTATATCGGAGAGAAAAGAAATTAACATAAGATGGAGATCAATTCTATATCCTAAGACTTCTCGAATCACAAAAAAACTGATTTATTCCAACCTCAATGGGTTTTGTTAAATACATGCAACTGAAAGAAACGTGACTAATTTTCAGTTTTATCATTTTATGATTTTTTATGTATTTTAATATTAATCCAGGTATCAAATAGCTGTGACTCCTAAACGTGGAGGCGAGTTAACAGGAACCCCAAGCTATTCTGCTCATTTAACCAGGTATTATCATTATTATAACAGTTTTCATACAGTCCTAATCAGAAAGACCCGGAATTAATTTTCAGTTAATCAGAAGACTTTGCAATCTAATTTTACTAATATGATTGATGAAACTATAATATCAAAATAGACCTAGTCCTGCCATTTCCAAAATGTGGTCTGCCTTTTTAAGTTCCCTTTGCATTAAAAGTGCTAGGCAATCGAACTACGTTGATAATATTTAACCACTTTTCTCATCAGCTTGAACCAGCGCAATAGTTGTTCAACTTTTTCTACGTAGTTCAACTTGTTCTTGCCTCATTTTTGGTCGCAGGTCTATATTCTCTTTATTAGTTGAAGAAATATTGCTGAAATAAAACCATACTTTTGAAGATCAGGAATGAACTTGTCAGCTAGATTATAAAGTTAACAGCATATTGTTATTCATAAGATTATAGAGTTTACAGCATATTGTTTGTCAGCTAGATTATAGAGTTAACAGCATATTGTTTGTCAGCTAGATTATAGAGTTTACAGCATATTGTTTGTCAGCTAGATTATAGAGTTTACAGCATATTGTTTGCCAGCTAGATTATAGAGTTTATACAGCATATTGTTTGTCAGCTAGATTATAGAGTTTACAGCATATTGTTTGTCAGCTAGATTATAGAGTTTACAGCATATTGTTTGCCAGCTAGATTATAGAGTTTATAGCATATTGTTTGTCAGTTAGATTATAGAGTTTACAGCATATTGTTTGTCAGCTATATCATAGAGTTTACAGCATATTGTTTGTCAGTTAGATTATAGAGTTGACAATATATTGTTTTTCAATTAGATTATAGAGTTGACAGTATATTGTGTGTCAGCTAGATTAAAGAGTTTACAGCATATTGTTTGTCAGCTAGATTTTAGAGTTTACAGTATATTGTTTGTCAGCTAGATTAAAGAGTTTACAGCATATTGTTTGTCAGCTAGATTTTAGAGTTTACAGTATATTGTTTTTCAATTAGATTATAGAGTTGACAGTATATTGTTTGTCAGCTAGATTAAAGAGTTTACAGCATATTGTCAGCTAGATTAAAGAGTTTACAGCATATTGTTTGTCAGCTAGATTTTAGAGTTTACAGTATATTGTTTGTCAGCTAGATTAAAGAGTTGACAGCATATTGTTTGTCAGAAAGATTATAAAGTTAACAGCATTTTATTTGTCAGTTAGATTTTAGAGTTGACAGCATATTGTTTAGGTTGCTGAAGAGTTTACCATAGAACCTTGTCAGCTAGATTATAGAGAGGACAGCATATTGTATAGGTTGTTGATGAGTGCTATAGTACCTTGTCAGCTAGATTATAGAGTTGACAGCATTTTTTTTTTAGGTTGCTGAAGAGTCTGCAATAGAACCTTGTCAGCTAGTTGAGGCGGGGAGGATACGACCCAGACCTGTACTTGTCATCACATCATTAGATGATTCAGATCATGCCCAGGTTTGTTAATGTGCTTCATGTTCATGTTGATGTTGATGTTCATGTTCACGTTCACGTTCACGTTCACGTTCACGTTCACGTTCACGTTCACGTTCACGTTCACGTTCACGTTCACGGTAATGTTCATGTTTAATGTATTGTTTCTTCATGTGTATCTTTATTTTTTATCTTCATTTTGATGTTTTGCAAGTACTCCTAAAGTTTTTTTTATGTTTATTTGAGTGTTCCTGTTTATATCTCTCTTATATTTACAAGCTACATATATAGATAGAAAAGGAGTTGTGTAGCTATCTACGTGAATGGTGTGGTGTAGGGGAGTCCTATTATATATATTTAGATAGTAAAGGAGTTGTGTAGCTATCTACGTGAATGGTTTGGTGTAGGGGAGTCCTATTATATATATACATATATATGTTTATATTTAGATAGTAAAGGAGTTGTGTAGCTATCTACTTGAATGGTGTGGTGTAGGGGAGTCCTATTATATATATACATATATATGTTTATATTTAGATAGTAAAGGAGTTGTGTAGCTATCTACGTGAATGGTGTGGTGTAGGGGAGTCCTATTACCCACTGGATGATGTTTCCGGAATACATTGTGGACAACGTGATCCTTGGAAATGGGCACAGGTTAACTAGACAAAAATATTTAGGCATAGCTTTATCAACATTAATGGGACTTCAGACGTAATTTCAAGAGACATTCAATTTGAAGAGTGGTATGTCTTTTTCACGATGGTACCCTCAAAGTGGTCAGGCTACGTCTTTGGTTGCTTAAAAAAATATTATGTGGGGTGTGGGATAAATTGATATTTTATACAGTGGTCAGCTTTTATGTCAAAACAATGAAGACGACTTTTTTATTATTAATAAAGCTTTGTTCCTTATGATACATTTTTCCAATGAGAAGTTTACAAGTAAACAAAGACTAAAGCGACGCTGCTGATTTACAAGTTCTCTTTGTTTACTTGTTTAATGATGTCTCTGTTGTTTGAAAGCTCGGTAGAAATCAAAATTGAAATAGAAAGTCGTCTTCATTGTATTTATATACACAATGACGACTGTAGTTTACTTTTTTTTAGAATAGTTACGAGAAAGTGAAGGAAAATGGAACTGTAGTATTTATTGCCGGACCAACTCCTAATCTTTCCCCCTCTACATCTCTATACCCTGGAATACAGGTAGACGGGGGTAGAGGAGGGGAGGGGAGGAATCATAATATTTAGAATCTTTCCCCCTCTACATCTCTATACCCTGGAATACAGGTAGACGGGGGTAGAGGAGGAATCATAATATTTAGAATCAATTCTCCCATAATTTATTCAAATATAATTGAAAATATAATTGATTTCAATCAAATTGATAACTGTAAAATTGATTTGTATATTTATATCTTATTTAGATATATTTGATTAAATATAATTAGCTCATATATATAATACTAGGCTTTTAGGGCGCTCCGCGCCCATCTTCTATTTAAACTGTGAACATGTTCTTTTTGTTTACATTTTAAAACCAAGAAGAAAAGCGGATTTTTAAAAAAAATGGCGGATTTTCAAGAATTTAAATTTTTTTACAAAATTAAAAACCTTTAAAACACATTTTTTATTATCATTCATAAACCTTCCATGTGGTCACGTGATGTCCCACAAAAAGTTTGGGCCCGATCGGTTCAGCCGTTTTGACGTTTATTGGATACAAACAGACAGACAAGCCAAATATATATTACTAGCCATAGAGGGCGCTTCGCGCCCATCTTCTAAATTAATTGTGAACATGTTCTCTTTGTTTACATCGTAAAACAAAACAAAAATAATTCGCGGATTTTCACAAAAAAATTCGCGGATTTTCCAAATTTTCAAAAATTTAATGACGATCGAATTTTGATGGAGACAAATATTTAAAATTTCAATCATTCATAAACTTCCCTGGGGCCCCTAGATGTCCCACAAAAAATTAGGGCCCGATCGGTTCAGCCGTTTTGAAGTTTATTGGATACAAACAGACAGACAGACAGACAGACAGACAGACACAAACAGACAGACAAGCCAAATTTATATATAGATAATATAATATATATATATATATATATATGTTAGCTATAGCTGGCAGAACGGCTGGACCAAATTAGCAGAATTTTTTTTTTGAGGAAACACATGGGCACCCCGGGGGTGACAGGCTAAAATATCGAAATATTTTTTTTCAAAATACGAAGAAAACAATTCTTAAAGTATTTAAAAATTTTTAAATAATGTTTTTAAAATTCCACGGGCAACGCCGGACATTTCATCTTGTACTACATTATATTACAATAAACTATATTAAACTACATGAAACTACATAAATCTATTGAAATCTTTATAAATCTAGGGTAGAGTACTAGTATGTAAGTTTGCCTACTCTGATGTAAAAACTCTACCTGCAGATGTTCCTCAACAACTTGTATCCTCAGCTCTTACTCTTCCTAAACATATGAACACATTTCTCTCACAGCTTCTTCAGGTACAATCAAGGGGTAAACATGTAAAAGAATTGACCCTCGCCTTTTTATCCAAAAATTAAATTATTTTTTTCCTCGAAAGTCGTTTTCCTCAATTGAACGAATAAAACTACGTAATCAAACAAACATACTTTAACTCGATTTCTGAGGTTGGAAAAATGGTGGGATTGTTTTTCAAGAAAACAAAGACTCTTTTAACGAAAGTTCTGACCTTAGGTTTCTTTAAACATTTTCAACATTGGTTTCCTGGCTTCAAGATTAATATTATAATACTGTTAACTTTACACAAATTATAATTTAAAATATCTAGGTTCGAAAGAAGACCCTATGCTCTGTGTTTCCGGTTTCCATAGTTCAGCCGGATATTCTCCCTCGGGATTTTACGCGGCAAGGAGGCGCAGATATTCTTACGAAAATACGCAAACTTACAGTTAAGGTTAGAGTTAATATAATTGGGTAAAAGAGGAATGAATTTGGTTCTAAAGGACCCTCAAGATTTGAAAATAATATAAATTAATGATCTGGCAGACTTTAAAGTTAAACTTAATTCTATGAGAATTAAGAATTATATCTGTTCGGTTCTAAAGTAATAAACTGATCGAAAAAGATGTACTGGGTGAGTCAAAAAAAAGTGTAATTTTCGGCGCCTGGTGTAAAATTTAACCTTTTTTGTGCAACTCTCCTGTATGGTGTTTTTTTTTCAATATTTTTTTTTTAATTTGTAATTTTTTTTGTACTCCATTGGCCCGAAAGAAAATCCGCGAATCTTTTTTCTCTCAAAATCAAAAGTTCATAAAAGCAAAAATGTGTACATGACTTATTTCTATCGAAATTTAAAGTTTTTAAAGATTGAATCAAAGAATCACAGAAAATTCGCAAAATTGTAATAAGAAAATTCGCAATTTTTAGTTCTGGTCTAATTTTTAAGGAAAAGTTATCTAAATTCTCTAGTTCCTTTCTTCTTAGTATATTCTAAAGTATTAAATATACGCTGTTTAGTTGAAACCTTAAGAACCATTGAAAAACAATTTTTCCGTAAAAATATTTAACGTTTCATAACTAATGTGATCCTATTTGTAAACACGGTAATTAACACCACCACAACTTATGAATGATCATGTTTGCCAGCTTCTTTATTAAAACAAGAACTGGGAATGAATGTATAGAGTATCCCGTCAACGGACCGATGATGAAGAATACTTCTCTGGTCGACCTATTCATTTATATGGTAGTGTACTGTACTTTTCATAAGTCATGTACTAATTATTTAGAAAGCTGAATATTTTCATGCTTAAGCTTTTCTTGATCTTTACTGCGATTTACATAATTTACTTTCCCTCTATTAAAAATAAGTAATGGCTATTCGTGATTCTAAAATTTCCAGAAGTACATTTATTTATAGTTAAGTCTATATCTCTACATCTTATACCTCCAGTTCTTTGTTTTCTTTTGATGCAAATAGCTTCTCAATTATGGATAAGCAATTACATAAACGGAAACAGGCAAAATATCTATCTTAATAAACTATAATTTGTGATAAGTTAAAAAATTTAGTTTTTTTAAAGAACTTAAAAACATTTTTTTCTTTTTTTACTAAGTAGGTTGGATCTGTTACAAATATTAGACCTTGATGGGATAAACAAGAAATATGAGAGTCCTAGCTTATTTCCCTGCAAGCCAAAGAACGTCGTCCTAATAGTGGAAGATCTTGCATTAGGAATTTATCTGAATAGTGTGTACGCTCCGTACTCTTAAAATTGTATATGACGTTATTGGCTGCAGTATTGGTTTTAATTCAAACAATCAACATTAAAACTCTAGTTTTCAAATAAAATAATCATTTGTGGAGAAATTAACGACACTGTCATAAACTTCTAAATTTGTTTGATCTTGTACAGAATAGGATGCTCTCCTGCTAAAATAAAGCTAATATTGTGATTTTGTTACGCATCTTATTTGTATGAAAAATACCAAATATTTAAAAACTAAATTTGTTAGATGTCACTAAGTATAGTTTTTTTATTAGTTTAAAGCAGAATTTTAGGCCAGTAAAGTGAACAAGGTCCGTAAAAAGGCCCTTGTTTAAAGTTGCTAAAAAAAAAACTCAAACCAATTACATTGCAATCTGTTTTAAGATAAAATGTATCTACAAAGATAATAAAGTTATGCATTTCCAACTGCATATTACGTAAAAAGGCATATATTTTGAGAGAGATATACCTAAAAAGTCCTGAAATATCTTTAAATTATAGAAAAGACGACATTCTGTGGCTTCTTAACTGAACGAATTGAGGCGTCTGGTTTTGCGTTTAAATCCCAATGCCTAATCTTAATATTAATAAGTTCTTTGGTTTTCCCTTATTGACTTTTTCAGGTCAAAAAAAAACTTTGCATGCCGCGCGCCTCTTACTTATCTATAAATGCTATTGATAACTTTTGTGCCCCCCCCCCCCCCCCCCTAGCTACGGGCCTGCATGATTCGTTTACGATAGGTTTACTATTATGGAACCGAACAGATATGATATAAAAGGATAATCTTTATAGGTTTAACGGATGATGTAATGACATAAAACAAGAAATTTAATAAATTTATAATTTTTAAATTTATTTTCTGTCTGTTTAGGAGCATAATTGGAGGTTAGAGATGGCGGCTATGACTCAAAATACAGCTTTAGACAGGTTGGACATTTATATAATTATCGGAGACAGGTTGGACATTTATATAATTACCTGAGACAGGCTGGACATTTATATAATTATTTGATACAGGTTGGACATTTATATGATCATTTTAGACAGGTTGGACATTTATATAATTATTTGAGACAGGTTGGATACAGGTGAATTAAGTGAGTTAACAGAAGTTAGAAATTGTATTTATTCAGGTTTTTGAAATCTCAGAATGAGGACGGGAAAGTCAGACAGGACAAGTCCCGGTATATAACTGAGGACAAGGGAGAGAGAGAGGACAAGGTCCCTCTCTGCGAGGACGAGGACAGAGAGAAAAAGAACAGTGTCCTGGATATAAGACTGGAGGGAGATGTGCCGTCAGTTCGCCAGATGTCAGATAGAGACAGATCCACTGCGGATACCGTCTGAACAAAAATCTTAAAATCTACGGCGGACATTGTCTTATGACGAGGTGAATCCAAAGCTCCCAGATTATACTTAGGAATAAAGTGTTAGAACTTGTATATATTTAAATCTTGACGGCACTGTACACGTACTATTAAGTAACCATCCATTTAAAGAGTGGCATAGAGTGGCATCTTAGATTCACAACAACACACTTCAAAACTGTGTCTTGTCATAAATGAATGAGAAATCTTACCTTTTCTAACTAATTTTTTCAATTGTATTTCTGTTAAAGAGACTAGTCGATCTATGAAGCAGAGACAATGTAATTAAAAGAATCCGAATGCGAATTGTTTTTTTAGAAAATCGGAATATACAATTATTTGCCTTATTTTACTAAACATTCTGAAAGATTATCGAATATTCACGTAAAATATTCTCCCGCTATCCCCAATTTTTACTGTTCCTTAAACCCATTATCTTACAGTAAGAACAAATATACTGCAGAATAGGAAGACGACATTAACGCAATCTTTTATTGTAATTTATGTAGGGTTTTATTTACATAAACATTTAATTCAAATTCAAAGTTTGGCAAAATTTTGTTAAAAATTTATTTGAATGATATTTTAAGGTATGTGTTATTATATAATTAACTAATTAATTATAAAAAAACGCACAATTGTTGCTGTACAGTGTACATGCGGAATTATCTGCAAAATTTGTATTATTCTTATGATCTAGTACAACAGAGGCACTGGAAAATAACTTCTTGTCCTACCAATACGATTTTTTGTTGTGGCATTCAACAAGATAAATTTTAAATTTGTTAAGTAAAGTTAGTAGCTAAGGACTATGTTTTGCGCTTTTTTGCGCAATTGCGAATGGAAAGCCTACATTTATGTTATTAAAAGGCAAAAAGTTTTACTAGTAGCTTGAAAATTACTTCAAAACTAAGTCGACTTTCTATTCCACAGTTTTCAGGTTCTCGCTGTAATCAGAGTTAGGAAGATAAAAAATGTTCTATTTCATAATGTTACCACTGTGAATTGAACATGCCACTCAGTAGATGGAGGAGCACAAGAACTAATGTCTTTATTCCCTTTAAGCTTGATATAAATCATATTGTGATTGATAGGGCTGGGAAAAGTTCCGGTAACGAAACGGAGGTTTTCGAAAAGAGTCCGTTAACGAATGGCAAAAATCGTTAATTTTTTAATCGCCAACGAAACGGATAAGCCGTTTTTGAAGGAAAACATTAACGGTTGAAAATGAAAACGACATGTCCAAAATTTCATGAAATTTGCAACAAAAAAATCAAATGTATTTTGATGTTTTTAAATGTCGTCTACAGCCCCCCCCCCCATTTTTATTATTTTTTATAAGCAATTTGGTGACGGGATTGTGTAGTAAATCCAATTTGATAAATGGCTTTTACGTTTTATTATTGGAGTTTTAGAAAACCTTTAAAACCTTTAATTATACAAACAACTGTTAACGACTTGCACCGTTATCGATTTGACTAACCGTTTACGAAACAAAATTTGCTCATCGCGCACTTTATGATACCGTTAATTGAAAAGAATATCTTCCGTTAACGCCGTTACTAAAATTAAGATCGTTAAATCACGGCAACGGAAATGATTGTTCCGTTCTTACCTCTAAAACGAGTGACTACCTGAAATTTTTCTTTTAACGAATGGAACTAACCGTTTACGAAATGCCTAGAAAAAAGTGCACAGCTCTTTGAACCTATTTTATGTATTTCATATCATTTAATGTAATGCTGGAAAAGTCATTTCGTCGTAATGCATTCACTCAAAAGCGTGTTTTTCGTACAAAAATGTATCTTTTTAGCTTCAACTTTTTTCCTTTTATTAGGCATTTTTGACAATTTTCATTATTTACATTAAATTGTGATTATATTGTTATTTGTAAGCAAAAACAATTTGTTAATTGTTAATGCACTGCACACAAAAATGTCCGAGAACCTGATCAAAATATGTGAACCATTGTTTGTCTAATGTCTAGTCTTTTGCGAATATATTGGTGTATATTATATGTATATTTTCAAGCTCTATATTTGTTATCTAGTGCTTAACAAGATGTAATAAATTTTTTTTTTCATATTTTGAGTAATTTTTTAATACAGTGGTAGGCGATTTTATCAATACAATGAAGACTACTTTTAATTTTGATTTTATTTTATATCAAGCTGTTCAGCATGGATACACGTAAACATAGAAGTTAAGAGAAGCTGTGAATTAAAAAAGCTTCGCTTGGACTACTTGTAAACTTGTAATTCGAAAATGCTGGTATAAATCAAAATTAAGTAATGAAAAGTCGTCTTCATTGTATTGATATAATCGCTTGCCACTGGAGATTAAAAACAGTACAGATATGTCGTCTTTCTAGATTTATGGGTTTTTCGTTCACAATAGCCCTGAGGCAGAAGCCCAAATGAGATAAGCGCATGCCGCGTTGAATGACAAGACTGAGCGAAAGCCTTCATGCACTCTTTTGGGCGTCCCAGGGTTATTGTGAACGAAAAACCTCTAAATCTCTAAAGACGACATCTAGCGTTCTATCTGTATTGTTTCAAATCTAATTGTTCACAAAAAAATCTAAATTAACAATGAACCACCAATTCAAAGTTAAAATTTTTTTAAGTGATTCAAAATATCGGCAAATTATATTATATATATATATATATATATTGGTTTTTGTTTTCCGCTTTCAATATATGCTCTATTTCAAATGTTTTGCTCCATGGTGAAATCTAAAATTACATCTACAGGGTATCCCAATAAATATGGGAATTCAGCAACGATTTTCATATCGTCTTTTTAACTGATTTTTTTATTTAGTATGGTGATACCAAATAGGAAAGATTTAACCCGTCTGCTGGAGTTTAGAATTTGTTTGTTTACGTCTTATTACATGTGGTAATATCAGAAATTCGTGTATACAAACACATTACAGTTGTCTCTCTCTACTGTTAATCTTCCATATTATCATACAACGTTTTGCAGAATAACAAACCCGTCTTTTTCCGTTGACATAAAATATACTCTAGCAGGCGTTACATTATTTTGACCATAAATAGTAGGTAACACAAAGCTAATTCTTCACAAAGACAATTTCGAATTCGTCTCTGAATTCCCATGTTTATTTGGACACCCTGTATGATTCAGGACATAAATATATTTTTGTATTGAATTCTTGAATGATAAAATCGGAAAGATCGTCGTTTCTAGGGGTGCTAGCCCAACACATGACGGAGAAAAGCACTTTCTACTTCATCCATTTTGAATCAGATTGGAATGGTTTCGCATTTTCCAGATTAAGATAATCAAAAATTTGACAATTAATCTGAATCTAAAAAAGTTTTCCATAAAAGGTATACCTTAAATGAAAGATTAAAATAAAATAAACTTATTTCAGTTGAGAAATGAATTTCCAAATAGCCTCCTGTCTGAAGAAATGTTTTATTGTAAAACATATATCTTATAAACACCTTTATGAGTCAATATTAGTTACAATATCAAAAAATAACTTTTATCTTTAGTAAAACTCTTTTACCACTATGTTGAAATTTTTTTTTATTCTTTATTACATGTAAAAACCAAGAGTGCTAGCGAAAGCTCGCTTACTGCATAGCGGAGGCTCGTACTGCCTAACAAATCTGGAAGACTCATGTCTGCTTGGTGGAGGCTCTTGGCGGCCAGGGGTTCCCTTCCACTTCTAATAAGTTATGTAGAAGACATTTTTTGTTAAAAATCTTTTTTGAAAGTTGGAAATGTTTTCAGAAGTCAGAAATGGATAAAAATAAATATGATCTCTCAGCAGAGAGAAAAAAAACAGTTTATTTTTATCATTAAAAAAATAAATAAGCAACTAAACTTTAACCGAGCAATGTCAAATAAAGGATTTTTTCAAAGAAATATGAATAAGGATGATTTTTTTTCTCAAATGAAACTTTTCAAATTGTGAATTTAAGGTATTGGGACTGGTGCTCCTTTACACCGTACTCTTAAAGGTAGACAATCCGCCCTGTCAAAATTCTAAAAATTTAATTTTTAACCTTTTAAAAATTTAAGGGTAGGATCTAGGATGAGGGTAAGATCAAGGATGTGGATAAGATCAAGGATGTGGATAAGATCGAGGATGAGGGTAAGATCAAGGATGTGGATAAGATCAAGGATGTGGGTAAGATCAAGGATGATGGTAAGATCAAGGATGTGGATAAGATCAAGGATGAGGGTAAGATCAAGGATGAGGGTAAGATCAAGGATGAGGGTAAGATCAAGGATGTGGATAAGATCAAGGATGTGGATAAGATCAAGGATGTGGGTAAGATCAAGGATGTGGATATGATCAAGCATGTGGGCAAGATCAAGGATGTGGATAAGATTAAGGATGTGGGTAAGATCAAGGATGTGGATAAGATCAAGGATGTGGGTAAGATCAAGGATGTGGATAAGATCAAGGATGTGGGTAAGATCAAGGATGAGGGTAAGATCAAGGATGTGGGTAAGATTAAGGATGTGGATAAGATCAAGGATGTGGGTAAGATCAAGGATGTGCAGGGTAAGATCAAGGATGTGGATAAGATCAAGGATGTGGATAAGATCAAGGATGTGGGTAAGATCAAGGATGAGGGTAAGATCTAGAATGTGGATAAGATCAAGGATGTGGATAAGATCAAGGATGAGGGTAAGATAAAGGATGAGGGTAAGCTCAAGGATGAGGGTAAGATCAAGGATGTGGATAAGATCAAGGATGTGGATAAGATCAAGGATGAGGGTAAGATCAAGGATGAGGGTAAGATCAAGGATGAGGGTAAGATCAAGGATGTGGGTAAGATCAAGGATGTGGGTAAGATCAAGTATGTGGATAAGATAAAGGATGTGGATAAGATCAAGGAATAGGGTAAGATCTTCCACATCATTGAACAGATTAAGGTTTCAAGGGTACCATTGTACCGTCATAAACAAAGGGTCCATTGAAATTCTGCCTGCAGTCCTCTTAAGCCCTAAGTTTCTAGTTTTTCTGAATATTTAACCATTATCCCAACGAGGGAGGAAACCCCCGGACGTCATGAGCCTCCGCTATGCAGACACGAGCCTCCCAGATTTACTAGCCAGAACGAGACTCCGCCACGCAGTAAGAGCCTCCCCTATACAGTAAACGAGCCTCCGCTAAACAGAATAGTTTCCATAAAACTTTTTGTTTTAACGTTAAGTAAAGAATTTTTAGTTTTTTTGTTAAATAGGGGCATATAACACGTTTATCAAAGATCAGAGTATTAATAATTTAAAATAAATTATGAGTAGTAAAGTGGTTTATAAAACTTCAAACATATTTTATGCAAAAAGGAAAACATTTAGAGAAAAAATTCTTGGAGTAATTTAACTTGAGGTTTTATAATCTTTGATTTAACCGATACCTTTTTTTGAAATTTTCTCAGATTAAGACGATACAAAATTTGACATTGACAATTTAAATTTAAAAAATGTCCCGAAAAAGGTATTGCTTAATTCGAAGATTATAACAAAATAACAAAAGTTCAATTCAGAAATGAATTTCAAAATAGCCTCCTGTCTATTTAAGAAATGTTTTATTGTAAAACATAAATCTTATTATTGTGTCAATATTAGTTACAACTCATGACCATCAATAAATAACTTTAACATGCAAAAACCAAGTGCTATAAGGACGCTTTGCTGAGGCTCGTTTACTGCATAGCGGAGGCTCTAACTGCATGGCGGAGGCTCTAACTACATGGCGGAGGCTCTAACTGCATAGCGGAGGCTCTAACTACATGGCGGAGGCTCTAACTACATGGCGGAGGCTCTAACTACATGGCGGAGGCTCTAACTGCATGGCGGAGGCTCTAACTGCATAGCGGAGGCTCTAACTGCATGGCGGAGGCTCTAACTACATGGCGGAGGCTCTAACTACATGGCGGAGGCTCTAACTGCATGGCGGAGGCTCTAACTGCATGGCGGAGGCTCTAACTGCATGGCGGAGGCTCTAACTGCATGGTGGAGGCTCTAACTACATGGCGGAGGCTCTAACTACATGGCGGAGGCTCTAACTACATGGCGGAGGCTCTAACTGCATAGCGGAGGCTCTAACTGCATGGTGGAGGCTCGTTTACTGCATAGCGGAGGCTCTAACTGCATGGCGGAGGCTCTAACTACATGGCGGAGGCTCTAACTACATGGCGGAGGCTCTAACTACATAGCGGAGGCTCTAACTGCATGGCGGAGGCTCTAACTGCATGGCGGAGGCTCTAACTGCATAGCGGAGGCTCTAACTACATGGCGGAGGCTCTAACTACATAGCGGAGGCTCTAACTACATGGTGGAGGCTCTAACTACATAGCGGAGGCTCTAACTGCATGGTGGAGGCTCTTTTACTGCATGGCGGAGGCTCTAACTGCATAGCGGAGGCTCTAACTGCATGGTGGAGGCTCTAACTGCATAGCGGAGGCTCTAACTGCATGGCGGAGGCTCTAACTGCATGGCTGAGGCTCGGTTTGCCTGGCAAAAACTAAGCACAGAAATAAGCCAATGTTGGCCTAAATAGAACCTTGCCTGCAAGAAAACAGACTAAACGTACAATCGTTTCTGAAGTCTCATCCTTTGAAGGTAACCCTGTATGTCGATTTATACAACAGAATTTAATGATGGAAAACGAATCCAGCACTAATTAAGCTAAAAAGACAACGATATCTTACTCATTGTTACTCAGAAAAATGTTTAACGATGTCATTTTTCTATACTAATATTTTCAACAAAAATGAATTTAACATCATCAAAAAATTTATTTTAGCAAGCAGTTTGCAAACTAGTGGTACAAGAAAAAATAACTAATGTAAATTTTTTTTCACAATTTAGTTTTTTTTATGTTTTAGGAACTCTTGTTTACATCTTAAACTATTGCACTGATCAAATATATAGAATTTGAACAGATGCTGTAATTTAAGACAAGCGTAGCTCTATACATATTACACAACACGCTATACAGACATCTTGTTGGTCCAGGTGGTCACTGGTCACTGAAAATATTTCAGCATTTCTAAACAAATCTTTTAGGACTTGTAATTTCCAAGCGACAATAGAAATAGCATTTAATATTTTACAAATTGCACTTGGATAAATAGCAAACACCTAAAAGGATGACAAAATAACGTTTCCTTAAAATTTAATTACAAAACTATAAAAAATGAGATTCAAACTCAACCCCCTCCCCTCCCCTAGGAACTTTATTATATAATGCCTATATTATAGTTATAAATAAGTTGGCGTGATATGAATAAGCGGTGCACATATTAACCTCTCATAAACACAAGTCACAGAAAATATAAAAACAATTGCGAGCGCAATGCATTACAAAATTACTTTGAATTGATTAAAAAAAAATTTAAATAAAAATTGTTTCACTCACTCGAAATTAATTTTAAAATATTTTGGGACAGGTTAGCACGATTACACAGATATGTTTAAGCGTTATAAGTATAATATTGCATAACTTGATAATTCGTTGACAATTACTTGAATAGTTTCAGCAGAAGTAGCATTGTAGATGGTGAAAAAAAACTGTAATTAGCAGTCTGAACAAAATCAAAGATGAAACAGGATCTTGTTTCATTAATTTTATTATGGCCATTTGTTACTACTATGTTAGGTTAATGTAGCAATTTATAACCTAATCCTGCTACATTTATGTAGCTGGTTATGACTTACGAGCCTATGCTACTACAGTTATGTATCAGATTATGAGCCTATGCCACTATGGTTATGTAGCTCGTTATGAGCCTATGCTACTTATCCAGTTATGTAGAAGATTATGAGACTATTCTACTATAGTTAGGTAGGAGATTATAAACCTAAGCTACTACAGCTATGTAGCTGGTTATGAGCCTATGCTACTACAGTTCGTAGATGAATCATCAATGTATGGTATAGATTGTATGGATCCAAGGTGAGGAGGAAGCTGAACTAGTTGAACCAATGCTTCTGGTTCAACTTCATCTCTCAATCTAAACAAAACATAATCAATTAAGAAGGATTTATATCAATAAAAAATACCCTTTGCCTAGAATTTAGTGAACTAAGAATTTGCAAAAAAAACTAAGCAAACGGCTATCCACTCAGGTCCTAACTACAACCTACTCCTTGGTCTATCATTCAGAAGAGGGTTTAACACCCTCTCTTCTCTCTGGGTCCTCAAGGGAGCTGCCAACAGGGACGGTCAACCAAACTGACCGGCCCCGGATGGCCGCTTAAGGTGAAGGTCATAAAGGTTGACCGTACCAGCCATGACGGTCTGCAGGTCATATCAGTAGACCTGGAGACCGGCGCGTTGGGCCGGTCAGAACGGATTGACCAGCAAGCTCTTGAAAGTTGGAAACTTTCAAGCAGGCTGACACAGCAGCCCCAGTTTGCTGGTCAGTATAGATTACAGGAGGACCTTACAGGTTGCAGAGTAGGATTACCCTTCTTAGTTAGCCAGAAATAGCCACATACAGGCTTATGAGAAGGGAGGACAGAGTACCTGAACCTTTGAAATACAGGAATACGACATAAAGGTAGGGCTTTTTAAGGGACTGTAAGTGTAATTTTAAATGACCATTCATGGTAAAGATAACAATGCCCGATTTACAATATTATCCTTTAAAGCTGTGTCTGATCAAGAAAGAATTATATCATGATTATACTTTTGAACGCTAATTATTTTCGATTAAAGTTTCTCAAGAAAAGTGACTTGAGCATTTATATTGCAGAAAAACCATGGAGAAATGAACAGAATCAAACAGTTTTCAAGCTAAAAAGAGGTTTTCATCCATATTATTGTGAATCAGACATGTTCCTGTTTAAATGAAGGGTACCTTGTAATTAAGGTACTGGAGCAAGGGCGTTAACAAATTTAATAATGAAAAAGCTTACTTGGCAATAGCTCTACTAATCTCTCTGTTAGTTGGAACTAGATTTAGAGCTGTAGATAGAAGAGAGAGAGCTTCTTCCTTCCTTCCACCAGCTCTACAAGCTTTAGCCTTGGCAACCAGGGCTTCTACACTCTCCTCGTCATACTCTAGTACCTAGGTATAGGTAGGTAGGTAGGTAGGTATATTAAAGGTTGGTAGGCAGATTATAGGTATGTAGGTAGATTAAAGTTAGGTAGGTAGAATATAGTTAGGTAGGTAGAATATAGTTAGGTAGGTAGAATATAAGGTTGGTAGGTAAAAATAAAGGTAGTTAATTGACGGATAGATTGGTAAGATATGCAGGTAGGTAGATAAGTAGGCAAACTGGTAGGTTGAAAGATAAGCAGGTTGGTGGGTAGATAGGTACATTTATATACGCATTGTAGTAAAAAGCTTGGTAGGTAGATAGCTAAGTAGATAGGTAAACAGACAAATAGGTAGGAAGGTCAGTTTTAGGTAGGTAGGTAAGTAGCTAGACAGATATGTAGTTACTAGGTAGGTAAGTAGCTAGACTAGACAGATAGTTAGGTAGGTTAATTATAGCTATAGGTAAGTAAGTATCTAGACAGATATGTAGTTACTAGGTTGGTAAGTAGATAGACAGATAGTTAGGTAGGTTGTTAGTTATAGCTGTAGGTAGGTAAGGAGCTAGACAGATAGGTAGGTAGGATAGTTGTAACTATAGGTAGGTAAGTAGCTAGACAGATAGGTAGGTAGGATAGTTGTAACTATAGGTAGGTAAGTAGCTAGACAGATAGGTAGGTAGGATAGTTGTAACTATAGGTAGGTAAGTAGCTAGACAGATAGGTAGGTAGGAAGAGGATTATTATATCTCGCCAAATTATTATGGAAAAAGGTAAACGTCGCTAACAACAAATAATGCATTGTGCCATTTATTTCAAAAATATGAAGAAAAAAGAATTATTAAATGTGTGCGTCATGGCGTGGTACCTGCTGGGCCAACTGCTCCGCCTCCTTGAGGTTACCCAGCCTTCTCTCCACCCTACTGAGGTTGAGGAGGAGGTGGGACTCCAGCTTCAAGAAAGTATCCGCCCATTCAACCTGGTTTAAAGGGACTGTTAGCGTTATTTCAAGAGACCCTCCATGCAAAGATGGCAATGCCCGATTCACAACGGTAATCCTTACAACTTTGTCTAAATAAGTATGATCAATGTTGAAAACTGATTATTTTCAATTGTGGGTTCTTTATACAAAAATGACTTACGCATTTCTATTGCATCAGAATTAAACATGTTCAAACTAAAGATAAATTTTTCACAAAAAAAGTTTTACGGTAATTTTCTACATGTTATCATCATCATTTAACTGTGATTATCTTTTTTTTCATTATTATCATTATTATCATTATTATCAATATTATCATTTTTATCCTTGTTATTATTGTTATCATTGTTATCATTATTATCAATATTATCATTTTAATCCTTGTTATTATTGTTATCATTGTTATCATTATTATCATTATTATCATTATTATCATTGTTAACATTGTTATCATTGTTATCATTGTTATCATTATTATCATATTGTTATCATTGTTATCATTGTTATCATTGTTATAATTGTTATCATTGTTATCATTATTATTATTATCATTGTTATCATTGTTATCCTTGTTATCAATTTTATCCTTGTTATCATTATTATTATTATTATAGCTTACATCTAGTCTTGGTATTCTTCTTAGTGCGTATTTATAACGATGTGATGCTTCCAGTAACTTGTTCTTTCTGAAAAAATAATTTAATTTAAATTTTTATCTAAAATTAATATTTTTAATATTTTTACCTGAACAGTGTGTTTCCATCTTCTAGAATTTTGTTGATCAAAATCATCCTAAAAATTATCAAAATTATACCGAGCAAATATTTAAATCAACTTAAAGAATTGTAGAGAAAAGAGAAAAAGAATGGTCCGATTAACAACGATACCCTAAAAAGCTTTGTCTAATCAAGAAGAAATTAGAAGAAAAAATCGATTTTTATAGAAATATTTTTTTAGCTTATTCGGTCCAGCCGTTTGGCCGGATATAGCTAATATACAAACAAATATATATATATGAGTAAAGAGCTTTGTTATTTTGATATACACCATTTTGTTTAAAATATTTGTCATGTTTCATGTGGTTTCTACATAAAGGTGACCTAGTGGATTTCTTGCAACAGAAATAATGGAGAATATATGAGAATTATACCAATGTGGCAGGCGTCGTTTTTCTAGGTTGAAATGTGTTCAATTCTGATATTTTCTCCATTGTTTCTGAAGCAAGAACGGTATCACTTTCACTGAGAAAGCTGTTAAGGGTAGCGTTACTTACTGTATCTCTAGTTTTACTGTACTTACTGTATCTCTAGTTTTACTGAACTTACTGTATCTCTAGTTTTACTGAACTTACTGTATCTCTAGTTATACTGAACTTACTGTATCTCTAGTTTTACTGAACTTACTGTATCTCTAGCTTTACTGAACTCACTGTATCTCTAGTTTTACTGAACTCACTGTATCTTTAGTTATACAGAACTTACTGTATCTCTAGCTTTATTGAACTCACTGTATCTCTAGTTTTACTGAACTTACTGTATCCCTAGTTTTAATGAACTTACTGTATTTCCGGTTTTCCCTCGGCACTAATCCATGTGCCGGATCCAAGTTTGGCTCCGCGTCGAAGGAAACACGAGACGGCATCCGGTTTATCTTGAGAGATTGCCTTCTCCAGGGGCCGTACACCCAGACCATCTCCAACCTGATATATATTTATTTATGGAGTGTCTTGAGAAAAACATTATAGCGAGAACCAGAAAACTATGGAAAAGGAAGACGACTTTAAAGGAATAATTAAGTCTATTTGATATTGTTACAAAGCAAACTCTTTCACTACTAATTTATTAAATCACTTATTGGGTGAAATGGAAGTTTTAAATTGCTCAATTGCCGTGTCTTAGGTTCATTGAACTATTTAAAGTAAAATATTTTTTATTTTTTATAAAACCTCCTGTTAGCTCCTCAATGTGTATTTATTTTTACAAATACCTCCATGTTGGCTCCAAAATTATAAATTATGTTTATATATACCTCCATGTTGGCTCCGAAATTGTAAATTATGTTTATAGATACCTCCACGTTGGCTCCAAAATTGTAAATAATGTTTATATATACCTCCATATTTGCTCCAAAAAGGGTAATTATGTTTATATATACCTCCATGTTGGCTCCGAAGTTGTAAATTATGTTTATAGCTACCTCCATATTTGCTCTAAAAAAGGGTAATTATGTTTATAAATACCTCCATGTTTGCTCCAAAATCAAGAAGTATCTCAATAATCTGAATATCTCCTGTATCAACGCTAAGGCTCAGACAGCTCCGCCCTAATCCAATAAATTCATTAAAAAATCTATTGTGTTTTAACGTCAAAATCAACAAAAAATCATTTTAAAAAATCTGTTGTACGTCAACAACAAACAAAACAACTCATGAAAAATCTATTGTGTCGATCACTCGATCGTCAAAATCGACGACAAAAAAGTACTAAATTTATTTTTAAAAACGAATTACGTTGTTATAATCGACAAAACTTCCTAAATAGATTCCGAGACAGACCGTAACTAAGGATCATGTTAAGTGAAGCAACATTAAATTTTATTCTAAAACCTTTATTATTATTGGCTCTGGCCGATTGGAAAAGGTTCGATTACAAAACAAGATTTAAATTCCAGCAGTTTAACAGTTGAAATAATTGATTCAACTCTTTTATTGTATTATTCAATTTGTACGGCTAGGGGCAGGGGCGTATTCAGGAAATTGTCCAGGGGGGCTTAAATTTTTTTTCTTTGCAGGAGGGGGGCTCAGCACCCGTTGGGGCATGAAAACCCCCTGAAATTAATAGATTTCACTGGTCCAGGGGGGACTTAGCCCCAATAGCCCCCCCTCCCTGAATACGCCTCTGGCTAGGGGTATGCTATTGCTGGGGTGTTCTAATAGGGGTATATTATATAAATGTTATATAAACATATAATTTCCTGATTATTTTGAAATAGATTTGAAACTTATAAACTGGAACTTTATTACTTTTTTTATAATTTTTTTCTTCATTTTTAAACATCTTTGCTTGAACTTATTTTCATCCTTTGTATTGAATTTTTAATAGGAAGCGTTAAAGGAAAGTAAATGAATTAATTTGATATACACAGATTCATTGGATAGAAATGAAAATACAGGGTGTCTCATGAAACATAACAGTAGCAATACGACTTGAATGTCGTCTTTGAACTTTAATTTTATTTGTGACATTCAGTCGTCAACCTACTTTAACTTGTACAGATTCTGGAAACAATTTGACCACAAAACCCAAATTGTCAGACTCTAAACTAAATTCTTCATATCTCGGGAAATATTGAAAGCACAAAAAGGCAGACCACATTTTGGAAATACCAAAGCTAGGATATTAACTCTAGAATTTTACATGAAAATAAGGTTAACATAGGAATGTAGCAAATTATGTCAAAACCCAAAGACGACCTTCAAGTCGTCTTGCTACTTTCATGTTTCGTGAGACACCCTGTAGTTCCATTCAATCATAATTTCGATTATTGTCCATCCTATGCCCCTGTTTAATTTTATGCGAACAATTCCTTTAAGATTTTGTAAAAATTTTGTTTGTATTTGGAGAAAATTTGAATGAAATCTATCTTTATATTGTTTTTATCCGATAAGCGTCAAACCAGCATAATTTTTATCTGGTAAAAAAATTCACATGACCCTAAGGAAGGTTTATTGTCATCAAAAGAAAAAAATCTATTGACAAAAACAGTAAAATCCGCAGAATCTTTTTATTGTTACTTATTGTACACCAGCAAGAGCTAAGGTTATTAGTAGAAATAAGGGCGCCATTTCTTCCTTGTAACATAAAATAGGGTTTACCTTGATTATCCTTGATGTCTACTCCTGCTCCTTGGTCTAGGAGTAGACGGACCACCTGGACCTGGCAGTGCAGGACTGCATGATGGAGTGGACTGTACCCCTGGGAGTCCTGGTGGTCTAGGAGTCCACCCCGTTCAAGGAGTAGTTCAACCACTCCCAGATGTCCACCTACGAGTAAATTAACACTTTATTAGAAACACTCTGTAGGGAGTCCTAGACGACGTACAGTGAGACTCATAAAACAGTGGAATAGAAAGACGACATTTAGACTCAAATTATAATTTTGAGTAGTCCAATGTACATGAAACGCAGAAGTTGTGCACTGTGCACAGACTCATTGGACTTAATTAATTACCTGTTTTAAAGCTAGTGGTAAAACTATTTGCTTTATAAACAAAAACAGCTATGATTGCTCATTTGTCGTCTTCCAATTCCACAGTTATGTGTCTCCCTTTATGGTACCTCCTCCCTCCCTTTATGGTACCTCCTCCCTCCCTTTATGGTACCTCCTCCCTCCCTTTATGGTACCTCCTCCCTCCCTTTTCTTGGAATTAGATTCTTTATGAGAAAATATATGGTGTGACTTTTCACCAGTTTTCATTTCTTGCCCTGAAAAAATCCTTTTTGGAATTTTTAAAGGGGACACTACCCCCCCCCCATCCCCTCCTTAATAAAATAGGGGGATTTCCCCCCCCCCCCCCCCTTCAAATAGTCTTGTTTAGTACCTATTGCTGCTGCAGCTACTGAAGTTCTCCCCTGAATATCCTGAACCTGAACCAGCTCTACATCATGTCGAACCAGGAGGTCCACCACGTCCCAACATCCATTTCTAAAATTATAATCAAAGATTAAAAATCTTGAATTTCCCTCCTTTTTGGTAGAAACCCCGGTTTTTTACCGGCAAAACTACGGATTTGATTAATGATCAGTTAATCTTACAGTGAGGCCCATATAACGGGAATTGTTTATTTCATGTTGTTAGAACGGCAACGTAGATAGTTTTACTTGCCATGTTAATTGGGTCTGTATTCAATGCCAAATTATTGTGTTTAATGTCTATTGATCCAAGTTAAATTATAACTAAAACTCACGACTTCCTATTCCACTGTACACCACCGAGGATGTAAAGCATCATTCCTTGATGCATTGAACTAAAGTCAGTTAAGTTTAAATTTTAATTTAAGCACAATTTTAACAAAATAAAAGAATGATTAAATTTAAGAAGAAACGAATTTGAAAAACTTGGGGGGGGGGGGTGCAACGGTGAACCTCCCTCTTAACCAAAGTTTTAATGCCAACTTTTAACAAATTACCTTGCTGCTAAATGAAGAGCAGTTTCTCCTTCTATAGAAGCAGTTCTCAATCTGAAATCAATATTACTCTGATGACAATTTTAATTAATCGTATCTGTAGCAATGATTTAATGAGAGATTATTATGCTGAAATGTTCAAAAATTTTATTTTTTTCTTACCTTTAATCCTTGTTCAATATTATAAATAATTGTCAAATATATTATTTACACAAATGACATTTTTTATTAAATTTCTAAAAATGTTTTACCTGGCCCCGTGTTTGATGAAGAGATGTACCAGCTGCTTATGACCGGCAGCTGCTGCAGCGGCAAGGCAGGTCAATCCGGTCAAATTATCAATCTGATCTACCTGGATGTACCCAAGGTCTAGCAGGTACTCACACACCTAGAGATTGTTTTTAAACATCTTTAAACATCTTTAAACATCTTTAAACATCTTTAAACATCTTTAAACATCTTTAAACATCTTTAAACATCTTTAAACGTCTTTAAACCTCTTTAAACACCTTTAAACATCTTTAAAGGGAGAGACCGGCTTCAGCTGAAAGTGCAGTATTGTATTTAGGATTCATTTGATACCAATGAGACATTTTCACGGTGTATAATTCTTAAATATGAGATTAAAGGCGTTTCAGTTGTTTCAGTCAGCAGAAGAAACGTTTTTTACAAATACTAGGCAAGGGCGCTTCGCAACATGTTCTCTTTGTATACATTGTAAAAACAAAAATAAACAAAAATTTAGCGGATTTTATAAAAAAAATAGAGGATTATCAATATTTTCAAAAATCAAATTTTGTTGGAAGCAAATTTTTGAAAATTCGATCATCCATAAACCTTTCCTATAGGGTCACGTAAGGTCCCAAACGGTTCAACCGTTTTGACGTTTATTGGATAGACAAGTAAAGTATATACAGGGTGTTCCACATCAAATTAGACCGCGTCAATGGGTCTAAATTACGATTTGGGGGACAAATCAGAAAATTTAAAATTGTTGATAATATAATATGATATGGGACGCTCTGTATATAGATTTAATAACCCGGACAAAATATGTAAAAAAAATATTTTATAAACTAATTTGCTGTATAGGAACATAATTCTTGAAAGAAATTATTGGTGAAATCCATGGTAGAACCGTAGAATTGATTGTTTCATTATCATCTTTACTTTTGCTGTTTTGATAACTTATTTTCAATGATAAAAGTTCATTATTTTTCTCAACCTGTTTGTGTCATTATAACTAGTTAGTAGAATAGGATTTATTACATGTTTTCTCCAGGTCATTCAAGAATAGTGAAAATACCTTTTTTCCCATTACTGAAACAACTGGTGAAATATTACAAAGGACTTAACGCTCTTATTGAACATTGTACACCGTAAAAATGTCAATTGGTATCAAATGAATCCTATAATGTTTTTATCTACAATACTGCACTTTCAGCTCAACTACTATGTCTAGCCGGTCACTCCCTTTAAGTGCATATTCCACCAACTGTTTTAATATATTATGACGCTTACATGTTTGTGTCCGAACTGTGCAGCTGCTACCATAGCTTGATTTGCTGCTTCAGATTTACTCAGCAAATGGTCAGGAGCTTCCAACCAATCCTTCTCTAACAGCAGCTCTACAATCTGGACAGTAAAATCATGTACACGACAGGGTACTACAACATATAAACTCAACAATAGGCGGTTAGTAAGTAAGGAGGGGGGGGGGGGTAAATACACTACACAATAGTAAATAAATGTAGTTTTTGGTATAAGAAAAAAGCCTGTATGATGTCAACATAGAGAGCAATATAAATTAAGAGGTCAATATAGATAGAGGGGAGAGGTCAATTTAGATGAGGGGAGAGGTCAATATAGATGAGGGGAGAGGTCAATTTAGATGAGGGGAGAGGTCAATATAGATGAGGGGAGAGGTCAATATAGATAGAGGGGAGAGGTCAATATAGATAGAGGGGAAAGGTCAATGTAGATAGAGGGGAGAGGTCAACATAGATAGAGGGGAGAGGTCAATATAGATAGAGGGGAGAGGTCAATATAGATAGAGGGGAAAGGTCAATGTAGATAGAGGGGAGAGGTCAACATAGATAGAGGGGAGAGGTCAATATGGATAGAGGGGAGAGGTCAATATAGATAGAGGGGAGAGGTCAATATAGATAGAGGGGAGAGGTCAATATAGATAGAGGGGAGAGGTCAATAAAGAGGGAGCGGGTTGTAAAGAGCGGGTGAATGTTATCCCTTCAACTTAATCAGTACCTTAAGATGACCTTCTCTTGCTGCAGCAACAAGTGAGCAAACTCCAGACTTAGAGACCAGGTTCAACTAAAATATTAACATTATAAAACGTTTTTTTTTGTAGTTTTTGTACATAAAGTAGTAATCTTTCTTTGTCTGTCCGACCAAAACTCTCTAGCCCCTTGACAGGTTTGTATGCAATTTTGATTGGAGAATTTATTAGAACCACGGATATCTTCTTAGTTTGGATTAAAAATGCAAATTTTATTTGGTTGTCTTTCATTCTAGACAAAGCTGGGTTTCCAAGCGCAAGTTTATACATATTTGTTCCTTTTTTATTCAATAAAGTTTGCACAATGACACTCAGAAAAGTGTGGTCGACATTTAAGAACAAGACAGTAGCTTATTAAGTGAGATGGAATAGTCGTCTTCCTATACCAGACCTTTATGGGTCTCATGGACAGAAGAAAAATTATGTTTTTTATAATTGTTATACCTGTGCTCCGTAATCAATCAGCCATTCAAGAACATCACAATGACCTTGTTGGGCAGCGAAGAATAGTGAACCTTGTCCTCTAAATATCATATTATACTCACATTTTATTCATAAAAGAAGAAGATAGAAATTTTTTTTTAATATTCCAAAAAAGTATTAAGTATTTATTTAAGTATTTATGCTTTATATTCTAGTATCCAGGTATCCTAGTATCCAGGTACCCTCTATACCTGTTGTTGGTTTGATTGGTATCAGCTGAGTACTCCAAGAGTAGTTTAACCATGTCTAGGATCCCTAGGTATGAATATACAGCCAGGAGAGGAGACTGATCTAGTTCCTCTGTAATGTGATCAGGGGAGGCTCCAGCTAGCAGCAAAAGCTTGGAAACCTGAATTAATTTTTTTTTAAATATAAGAAAATTCCGAACGCTCTTTACACAAAATAATTAAAAAGCATATGATCAAGTTTAAAGAGAAAGTTCTTGTAAGAATCACAAAAGTAGGAAACACATTTAAGCTAAAACATATTATTATTAAAACTTTGCCTACAGAAGCTAGGTTTGACAAACGCTTGAACTTGATTAGCATCGTTTGTCTACAGATGTTCCATGTGCGGCGCGCGTAAAGTGTAAACTTGGAATCTTTATCAATAATATTTCCAATTGAACACAATTCATTTAAACCTGACCCAATATAGTAAAAATAAGTGCTAGGACAGTACACCAAGCGCAATCAGCAGGGGGGGGGGGGGGAAGGGGCCGGGGTCAAATTCTCAACATTTAAAAGGGGAGCGTAATAGAAAACACATTTTACCTTTAGAAAAACACCAAAATTTCCACAAGTTGAACATTTTTTTTGGCAAATAAAATCTTTTGTTTTGCACAATTAAGTTTTACCTTTAAGTTAGGACTGTAGATATTTCTAGAAGAGCCGAGAGCAGATGATACATCATCTGTAGTTAGAGAAATTAAAACTGCCTAAAAAAAAAAAAAAAACTAAATTTACGTTTTGCCCTCATTCAAGAATACTTTCAAAAACTAAGAAATAAAATTTTTTCTGGCATTTAATATTAATATTCGTTTTTTAAATATTTTTAGGAGTTTTCACAAATATTTACAGTCAACTGCATTTCAATTTTTTTTATGAAATTATGCAATTTTTGTAAAGTGTGTTAAAGCAAACTTTTAGAATATACAATTTTAAACTAGTAAATTTCTCAGATTTTTGAGGGAGCGTAAACTTCCAAAAGGTTTGATAAAACGGATAATCATTAATTCTACCTGCAAGTCCTTGTAGTACAAAGAGTTGTTCAATTCCGTGTTCTTATTCAAGTTTGCCTACAACAATAAAGTTTTGAAAATAAAAAATAAATTTTAAAAGACTAAAAAACTGACCTTCAGAACATGATGCACCATGGTTAGGATCTTCTCTGGCCTCATCACTGTTTTATACCTACAGATGTTCAAAACCCTGATCATTTTAGAAAAATAAATAAATATAATTTACCGAAATATTAAAAGTTTTGTGGGGCAAAAATCTAAAATATCTGGTGGACCGGAAATGAACAACTGTATGTAGACAGGAAATGGTTAATGTCAGGTGAACCGGAAATGGCTAAAATACCACGTAGACCGGATAAGGAACATGCCTAGTGATTGAGAAAGCTATTGCCGCGTGACCGGTTCTAACATCAACAAGGAACCTCTCACTCTCTCCATCCCTAAATGTTAAAAGAGAAATTAATGCAAATCCACAAAACTGCAGATGTGACCTTAATTAAGATGTTTGCTATTGTATTAGGCTTTAACGAATTTATCTGATTTTTGCTATTTTTTAAGGATTGGATCTTAATTTCAAGCGACCCGCAATCCTGTATGATCCCACATGGTCACCAGAAAACAATGAAATTCTCTTCGTCTTCTCTTTCTTAAATTGTGAAATGTCGCTCAGCTCAGCATTTTGTAATTTTCAAATCAACTATTTCTAAAAAAGTTCTCTATAGTCTCTACATTGCAAATTACAAAATCTTTGTGACTTTTCTTGAGTAAAAAAATCAAGGACGACTTTGATTTCACAGTTTTCTGGTTCTCACTGTATGCACCTTCGTTTAACCAGCCAGTCCCTGAGAGTTGGATGGAAGAACATCAAAGATCCGTCCGATCTAAAAAAAAAAGAGAAATATTGGTTTTTAAATTCAAAAGTATATTTTTTTCATTTAAATATGTAAGCATAACAAAAATGTGTCAAAACGTAATGTGTTTAAAAAACAATATCATTTACAGAATAAAAATCAGAAAATGAGAAGAAATGAGAAGAAATTGATAAAATGGCGTTCAGAAGAAAAAAGATGGCCGTAAAAATATTAAGAATTTAGACCTTGAAACTAAAAGGTCTTGGATTGAGATGTAACGCTTCTTAAATTCTGCCCAGTCAACCTAAAATAAACATATTAAATAAAATTGAAAAAGGGAAGAAAAAAAATAATCAGATGTACAAAGAAATTCCTAAGTACCATACCTGTGTGTACAAAGAGAGAGAACTGTACAGTTTAAATACCTCTGCTAAGCTCAATGACTAAACAAACAAATCAATTTATTTAACTGGATTTAACTGGATTTTACTGTATTTAACTGGATTTAACTGTATTTAGCTGGATTTAACTGGATTTTATTGGAACAATCTCAAAGATTTACTTCCGTTTTACACGTTTCCACTTAATTATGCAGTACACTGCACTTTGGTAATTTTTCAAAAAAGTCGAGGCAAGGAGAGGAGGGGAGGAGGGAGTGGGAAAGGAGGAGGGGTAGGGGGTCTAAAAGTGTCCTTCATGTACCTGTAATGAAGAGAGACAAATGGCGAAAATCTCCGAAACTTTTTCATAGCTCAAAGAAGTTGAAAACCTAAATTCAAAAATGAAAAAAAAAATATCTACAAATTTTGTTGTTTTTGGTTGGAAAAAAAAATTTCTGGTCATTTAACAGTGTATTATCTAATCATTAGAAATTTATTATAAACAAGTTTTAAAGGAAGGTGAACAATATTTACTGTAATGGACGGGCTAGGATTGGAAACTAATGAATTCTATAAACTGAAACAAAGATTTTAAATAAAGATCTATTTTCCTGGGTCGGATTTTAATGAATAGTTGAAGAAGTTCAACTACGTCTAGACTTAGTTTAACCCCTTCTCTTTGACTTGAACTAGCGCTTGCATGCACACAAGAGTAGGTTAAACAATACAAATCCGACCTTGTCCTAATGACGAAGCAGTTTAACTACTTGTTCCTAGTTTCTATTTACATTCTAATTTCTAACCTTCTATCCTTGTTCTTAGTTCCTAAATCATAACCTACTATCCGTATTCCTAGTTTCTAATTTCTAACCTCCTATCCTTGTTCCTAGTTCCTAAATTATAACCTACTCTCCGTGTTCCTAGTTTATAATTTCTAACCTTCTATCCGTGTTCCTAGTTCCAAAATTATAACCTACTATCCGTGTTCCTAGTTCCTAATTTATATCCTACTATCCGTGTTCCTAGTTCCTAATTTCTAACCTTCTATCCGTGTTCCTAGTTCCTAATTTCTTACCTACTCTTACTATCCGTGTTCCTAGTTCCTAATTTATAACCTACTATCCGTATTCCTAGTTCCTAATTTATATCCTACTATCCGTGTTCCTAGTTCCTAATTTCTAACCTTCTATCCGTGTTCCTAGTTCCTAATTTCTTACCTCCTATCCGTATTCCTAGTTATATCAAATCAAATCAAATCAAATCCTAGTTCTTAAATTATAACCTACTATCCGTGTTCCTAGTTCCTAAATTATAACCATTTATCCGTGTTCCAAGTTCCTAAATTATAACCTTCTATCTGCGTTCCTAGTTCCTAAATTATAACCTTCTATCCGTGTTCCTAGTTCCTAAATTATAACCTACTATCCGTGTTCCTAGTTCCTAAATTATAACCTACTATCCGTGTTACTAGTTCCTAAATTATAACCATTTATCCGTGTTCCTAGTTCCTAAATTATAACCTTCTATCCGTATTCCTAGTTCCTAAATTATAACCTACTATCTGTGTTCCTAGTTCCTAAATTATAACCTACTATCCGTGTTCCTAGTTCCTAAACTATAACCTACTATCTGTGTTCCTAGTTCCTAAATTATAACCTAATATCCGTGGTTTAAACAGTAATTAATCAAAATTACCTAAGGTTGAAGATAAGAAGGAATATCTCTGATAGTGTTCTGGGGATCACCTTGTAGCTTCCAGACTTCAAAACCAACTGCCCTCGTTCTAAATTAGAATTAATCGTAATTTTTATTGAGATATGATACAAATTAGCACTTTTTAAACGCACCCTTTACACCTATAATCTAAGAAAAATGAATAGATATCGAGGTTTTTAAAATTATCAAATTATTAAAATGATCAACTTCAAGATAAAATAACAAAGATATCTTCATCATTTTTAAAAAGTTTAGGGCTTGCAACTTATTAAATAAAGGCTTATTTGAAATTAAATTGACCAGCTTTTTAATGACTCATTTTGATGCAAGCAAACAAACTGTTAATAAAATAAAGCTGGCACAAAATATTTTCCAAATAGATTGTCAAGTACAATTGATGGCAACAGAGCATTTGTGCACTCTCAGTCAGTACAACTGTATTTTTACGTTATAAGTGTCAACTCAGTTTCTGTGTCCGACAAAATTATTAATGATAGTGATAAATTTAGACTAAGTGTTTATCTTACAGTGAAATAAATGCAATTCTATGTGTTCTTTTTTTCATTTTTACACTTTTTGTTTCATCTTGAAAAACATGTCAACTATAATGTGAGAAAATTTCGTTTTTCTTGTTATATTTGAGTTTTTGATGTCGTGTATAATTGGTTCATTTCTCTGTTGCCACCTCTTGTACTTGATAATCTATTTGGTATTACCTATGAGATCCAAAACCAGTTTTGAGTACAGGAAACACCCCTGAAATCAAGAGAATAAAAAAATATGATAATGGCACTAATTCTAATTTGTGAGAATTTTAAGTATTTGATCTCTTAGATTATTAAAGTAAACCACAAGTGTTGATTCAAAAAAACATATTATTATTTTAAAAAATTAATAATGTTTAAATTTAAGTTTGCGGATGAAAGAATTGTAACTAAATGCAAAATGTATAGGTTCAACACTTTTGCTAAAACTCAGTTTGTACAGCCATGTATATTGTACAGGAAATAATATATCTAAAAAAACGTTTTTTACAATTAGAAATGTAATTTTTACAGATAGTTTCTGTTAATTATTAAAGGTATAATTCGTAAAACATCTATATCCCCTGTTTTCGTACAAACTCCCTTTAAAGGGACTGTAGTTGTAATTGACTGTTCATTATTTAGAAAGTGTCAGGTCCGATTTACAGCGCTACTCTCAACAGATTTTTCTGCTCAATACTAAATGAGATGTCCATTTAGTTTCAGTAGAAATAAATAACTGATAGCGCCGAGTGAAATCTCTAATTGTATAATGAGATAGATAAAAAGATAGAGGTTACCGCCATACTTTTTCTATTGGTTCAGAATAAATAACAAACACGCATGACTGAACCCTGACTGGATCAGGCGCTAATGGACTCGGCATTCAGGAGTGCCATGGGTATCCCTTTAAAAATTGAGTTTTATCTGTGATTTCTACATAAAAAGTAAGTTTTTCCTATAGAAAATGGTAGAAAAAAGACGATATCTTCCACAAAAATGATCAGAGAATGAGGTATGGAGGTATGGAGGGTCACTTGATATTACAACGGCAGTTCCTGAAAAGAATTAAAAGGTTCACCTTAGCTCTGCAGACAAGGAACTGTGTAAAGGTTTCCAAGGTTTCTTGTTCTCCAACCTTACTCCGTATATTACCCCTGTACATATTTACTTTTTCAATTATAATTTTAACAATATTCTATGCATAATGATAGCAGATGGTAATATTTTGACATTTCTACTTCATTTGTATAAGAAATATTTGTCTGATGTACATTTACCGCGTATACAATAACCTATTCTGAATATTTCATATACAAATGGAGTACCCGTCTGCAAAGCATGCATAATCATATGGTAGGGCGAATCGCGTCAGTTATATCTCCCTTCTATTCTATGTTTCATGAGAAAAAATATTTAAAAAATAATTTTAATTTCAACCATTTTCAGTGTTTTGTGAAGTTTTCTTCTATCTATATATATTTACAGTAGTGATCTCTGTTTGTTTGTCTGTCTGTTTGTATGTCCAACCAAAACCCATAAATCTCTTGACCGATTTGCCTCAAATTTTAATTTTAAACTCGTTTAAACCACGAGAATGTTTCTAGTTTTTACCTGATCAGTTTGGATTTCTCAATTCTATTGTCGATGAAGGTTTTCATATCCTTGTTCAACCGTTCATCCATATCCATACTATCCAGACTAAATAATATATATCCATATTAGATCTATCATCCATATCCATACTACCCAGACTAAATAATATATATCTATATTAGATCTATCATCCATATCCATACTATCCAGACTAAATAATATATATCTATATTAGATCTATCATCCATATCCATACTATCCAGACTAAATATTATATATCTATATTAGATCTATCATCCATATCCATACTATCCAGACTAAATTATATTAGATCTATCATCCATATCCATACTATCCAGACTAAATAACATATATCTATATTAGATCAATCATCCATATTCATACTATCCAGACTAAATGAATAAAAAAAAACTAACTTAAAATATACAAAAAATAGTAAGAAAAATACAAAAATCCTTACAAAAATTAAAAACACTAACAAAATTAATATTGAAAATAATAAAAAAAAACAAATAAAAAAGATTGTTTTACACATATCTAAGGCATGAAATAAATGAAAAAGAGAAGTACTACTCACAAAAACATAAAAAAAAACATTCTTGACTCACCTAATTCTAAAGAATGGTAGAAGCCTAGTGATATCGTAAACTTGGGATCTTACAGTACAGACAATCTGTTGCAAAGGAAATAATTCAATTTCAAATTTAGTTCATCTTTATAAACAAGTCATTCTGTCATTAGCATGTGCTGCTGAGATGTTCGCAGCTTCGAAAGGTTGAATGCAATATGTGAAAATATATCCAAATATCACCGTCGAGTCATAAGTTTTTTGATGATTCTTTTTATTTTTAATTCAAGGAAAATTGATAGCCCTGAAATATGAAGGACAGCAATTGATATATTTAAACTCGTTTTTCCGCGGCATTTGATCTTAAATATGTAATACGACATTAATAAAAACTCTTGCTATGTGGGATCTTACAGTACAGACAATCTGTTGCAAAGGAAATAATTCAATTTCAAATTTAGTTCATCTTTATAAACAAGTCATTCTGTCATTAGCATGCAGTGACACGCAAATCTGCCCCTTTAGTAACAGTAAATTCAGCCTATATGAAGTCTGACCGCGTCAACCTTGTTGCACCGGCTAGTCCTGTCCATAGAGCTGGTACAGTACAAACTGGGACCGGAATGGTTGACCCGGCTCGGATATTCAAGTGTACTGCGGCTGCCCGTGGTGAATGCAGTACTTTCAGTCTAAATGTATATAGTATTCTTACTCTGGTGCAATCCTTTTTTTTTTGCTTAGTTTTGGTCCAATTTTTGTTGTAAAAATGCTTTGTTACAGAAACTACAAGCGTAATTTCAAGTTACCTCCGGCATCCATGGATAGATGACAATGTACGATTTACAACAGTACCGTTAAAAGCTTTGTCTGTTAAAGTATGAATGAGATATCGCTGTTTTATAATTTTAAACCTGCTTGCTTTCAATTTTGGTTTTTCTACTTTTCTATTGCAGGAAAATATATTAGAGTTATCAGAATGTAAAACTTTAAAACCTAGAAAAAACGAAAATATCATTTACATTATTAAACAGGTTACGCTTAGGGAAGAAAGACAGAGAGGGGGATGGAGGGAGGTGGAGGGTGGTTTAAACAGTAATTAATCAAAATTACCTAAGGTCTGAAATTAGAAATAATATGATTAAAGTATGTATAGAACTGTATACTGTCTCCAAAATCAGGTCTGAAATTAGAAATAATATGATTGATGTATGTATAGAACTGTATACTGTATGCACAGTGGACAAAGCAGGATTAAGATTTTAATTCTGAACTAAATAAGTTTTTAAATGATTAGACAAAGATAGAAACATGTCTACAGCTGCAGGGAACCGTCAATGTCAGAAAAAAAGAACGAAATAATTCCATACAGTCGTCTGTGAAGTTACATACTTTGTTGGTAACCCCGTAGCTTACAGTGGGTAGTTGAAGGATTTTTTTATTTATAAAAGAAGTAAGTTTTGAATGTCGTCTTTGACAAGATTTCAGTATTGGCGAAGAAGTAGATTAGTTTCCCTGTGTTTACCTATGCTGTTCTGCTTCACACAAACCATCAAGAACGATCGTACAGATCTCTCCGGAGATTTTACCAGTTTTTCTTAATAGTTTCAGGGGTTCCAGAACACCAGATACTGAATATAATAAATCAATGGTGGATTGGATGCTCCTCATTGGAAATATTGCTTTAAATTAGAATACTATTTGCTAAAATAAAACATGGTTACAAATACTAAAATACATTTAAAATTCAAGAGAAAGAAGAAAAGCCACAAATATTTCACTTGTATTTTAGTTACAACTGTAATGGATACAAACACATTAGTAAATAAAATGTTCAATTGGTTTTTTGATACAGCCGATCTCACATATAAGAATACAGTCAGAGCGCAATAATGTCGTCTTAAAATCTATTTTAAAATCGATGTCAACTCATCAGGGAGTAAGGAAAGAAGGAAGATATAACTGACGCGGTTCAGAATAGGTTATTGTATACGCGGTAAATGTACATCAGACAAATATTTCATATACAAATGGAGTACCCGTCTGCAAAGCATGTATTATCATTTGGTAGGGCTAACCGCGTCAGTTATATCTCCTTTCTATTCCTTACTCCCTGGCTGAAATGCTTCATCTTTGGTCTTTACAAAAAGAAAGCTGCTGAGATGTTCGCAGCTTCGAAAGGTTGAATGCAATATGTGAAAATATATCCAAATATCACCGTCGAGTCATAAGTTTTTTGATGATTCTTAAGAAACTACTTTTTATTTTTAATTCAAGGAAAATTGATAGCCCTGAAATATGAAGGACAGCAATTGATATATTTAAACTCCTTTTTCCGCGGCATTTGATCTTAAATATGTAATACGACATTAATAAAAACTCTTGCTATGAATTCGTATATCTGGGATTCACTGTGGTACGAACAAAAAGTGTTTTTTTTTTTTTCACAGAAGCTTTATTTAACAGTATAATTAAAAAAATCAATCCCCTGATTCAAAACTGGAAAGGAAAAAAGAAGACTTTAAAACCAATGAATTTTATATATTTTTAGATGATAATTCGACGGTACAGATTGAACAAAACTAGATCAACGAGATCAAACAATTTATTCACTCTAGAAGATGTATCATGATAATGATCATTATCGTTATTATTTTGGTTTGACAGCCAAACATTTTTATTTGAACATATATGTACAATGCAATACAACAACTATATAAATTAGACAGAAACACAGGCATGCAAGACAGAAAGATATTTGCCCTTTAGACGGACTGACAGTTGAGAAAAACGAGTAAAAGAAAGACTGGAAAAATGTTTATAAAGGATGGATGAGACGGATGGATGGACCAGCGAATTTTAGATTTTGGTTCACGACCTAGACCTAGTGCTTATTCAGACATTACATAGTTAAGAGAAAAACGGAGATAAAAAATAAATAGATAGATAGATAGATAGATAGATAGATAGATAGATAGATATATAGATAGATAGATAGATAGATAGATAGATAGATAGATAGATAGATAGATATATGTGCAAAATTACCCAAAGATTCGCTAGGGTTTGCAGTGCAGTGTGAAATAGACAGAAGATCTCGCACTTTCTTCTCAACCTAGAATAGTACAGGGTGTCCCACAGTCCCAGTATACAGGGTGTAACACTGTCCCAGTATACAAGGTGTCCCACTGTCTCAGCATAAAGTATGTCCCATAGTCCCAGTATGCAGGGTGTCCCACTGTCCGAGTATACAGGGTGTCCCACTGTCCGAGTATACAGGGTGTCCCATTGTCTCAGCATACAGGGTGTCCCACTGTCCCAGTATACAGGGTGTCCCACTATCCCAGTATACAAGGTTTCCCACTGTCCCAGTGTACAGGGTGTCACACTGTCCTAGTATACAGGGTGTCCCACTTTTCCAGTATACAGGGTGTCCCACTGTCCAAGTATAAAGGTTGTACATGTATTGTACTCTACGACCTGTGTACATGTTGTGTACTCTATGTCCTATGTACATATTGTGTACTCTATGACCTGTGGACTACCTGAATAAGATGAAAATAAGCTGAAAGCCGAGGAGACTGGGAGATCTGAGCAGACACTGAGTGTATAAACTCCGGTACACGACAAGTCGTAGCATTATCAGCCTAAATTGTGTACTGTGTACTGCATAGGATGTACACTGTACTGCATGCTATGTAATAATAATAATAATAATGATTATAACAATATTAATATCAATAATAATAATAATAATAATAATGATAATGATAGTACCTGGCAGAAATGATAGGAAACAACAGTTTTAGATAAAGAGCCCAAATATCCTTCCGTTTGGAGGCTAGATAGCGATCCAGTAGATAGAGATCTACTTAAACCTAGATATATAGATCCAGTAGATAGAGATCTACTTAAAGGGAGTGTTCGCGAAAAATGAAAGGGGGTATAGGCTTAATGCGATAAAAAAGCGCTTTTGATCGCTTCTAATCTTACTTCTATCTGTTGCGTCTATAAGGAGAAAATTGTTAAAAACGACTAATACCGAAGAACGCAGTATCCCTACAAATTCAGAAAAATGCAACTTACGACTTAGACCGTAAAAAAATCATCTTTATTTCAAACAAATCATTCAGATATTACAACCTATNTACTTAAACCTAGATATATAGATCCAGTAGATAGAGATCTACTTAAACCTAGATATATAGATCCAGTAGATAGAGATCTACTTAAACCTAGATATATAGATCCAGTAGATAGAGATCTACTTAAACCTAGATATATAGATCCAGTAGATAGAGATCTACTTAAACCTAGATATATAGATCCAGTAGATAGAGATCTACTTAAACCTAGATATATAGATCCAGTAGATAGAGATCTACTTAAACCTAGATATATAGATCCAGTAGATAGAGATCTACTTAAACCTAGATATATAGATCCAGTAGATAGAGATCTACTTAAACCTAGATATATAGATCCAGTAGATAGAGATCTACTTAAACCTAGATATATAGATCCAGTAGATAGAGATCTACTTAAACCTAGATATATAGATCCAGTAGATAGAGATCTACTTAAACCTAGATATATAGATCCAGTAGATAGAGATCTACTTAAACCTAGATATATAGATCCAGTAGATAGAGATCTACTTAAACCTAGATATATAGATCCAGTAGATAGAGATCTACTTAAACCTAGATATATAGATCCAGTAGATAGAGATCTACTTAAACCTAGATATATAGATCCAGTAGATAGAGATCAACTTAAACCTAGATATATAGATCCAGTAGATAGCGATCTACTTAAACCTAGATATATAGATCAGTAGATAGAGATCTACTTAAACCTAGATATATAGATCCAGTAGATAGAGATACACAGAAAAAAGAAATAGTCAGAAATATACTTCATTTTATGATGTATTATTCTTTTTTGTGTTGAACGTTATCCATGTTAAAACAATGAATCAATGAATCAAATCAAAAATATTTATTTTATGAAAAAATGCAAACTTTTATTCGTTTACCAGACGACAGCAGCTACTGCATATAGTGATGCATACAATGATGAGTTTTCGATTTTGTTCGGATTACGATGTACTTTGGTTCCCTGTAACCTGTATGACTGCCTCAATATTACAGTTACCTGTCTGCCTGCCTGGATATTAAAGTTACCTGTCTGCCTGCCTGAATTTAAAAGTTACCTGTCTGACTGCCTGAATATTGTGGTTACCTGTCTGCCTGCCTGAATATTAAAGTTACCTGTTTGCGTGCCTGAATATTGTGGTTACCTGTCGGCCTGCCTGGATATTAAACTAACCTGTCTGACTGCCTGGATATTAAAGTTACCTGTCTGACTGCCTGAATATTGTGGTTACCTGTCTGCCTGCCTGAATATTAAAGTTACCTGCCTGAGTGCCTGAATATTGTAGTTACCTGTCTGCCTGCCTGAATATTGAAGTTACCTGTCTGACTGCCTGAATATTGTAATTACCTGTCTGACTGCCTGAATATTGTGGTTACCTGTCTGCCTGCCTGGATATTAAAGTTACCTGTCTGACTGTCTGAATATTGTGTTTACATGTCTGACTGCCTGAATATTGTGGTTACCTGTCTGTCTGCCTGAATATTGTAGTTACCTGTCTGCCTGCCTGCCTGAATATTAAAGTTACCTGTCTGACTGCCTGAATATTGTAATTACCTGTCTGACTGCCTGAATATTGTGGTTACCTGTCTGACTGCCTGAATTTGAAGGCTTGGATCCAAAGCAACTTTGCTCTACTAGAGCTAGTATTGTCGCGGTCTTTCCTAATCATATTTTTTTCTTAATTTTAAGTTTTGACTTAAGAAAACTTTGCAAATATAACTAATAATAAACCAAAAACCTGAATCAAATAATCTGAATCTCAACCTGAACATTAAACCTTAACCTACTCCTATTTACCAGATCCTGAACCAGAACCTGAATCTGAACCTGAACCTAAACCTGAGCATGAACCTGATCCCACTCCTACTAACTTTAACCTAACCCTACTCCTCCTAACCTGAACCGGAAAATTAACCTGAACCAGGACCTGAACCTGAACCTGAACCTGAACCTAAACCTAAACCTAAACCTGAGCCTGAATCTGAACCAGAACCTAAACCTGAACCTAAACCTGAACCTAAACCTGAACCAAAATCTGACCTATACCTGAAACTAAACCTGAACCTGAACCTAAACCTTAACTTGAACCTAAACCTTAACCTGAACCTGAGACTGAACCTGAACCTACTCCTACTCCTACTAAGCTGAACCTGAACGTAAACCTGCTCCTACTAAGCTGAACCTGAACCTAATCCTACTAAGCTGAAACTGAATCTGAACCTAGTCCTACTCCTACTAAGCTAAACCTGAACCTGAATCTACTCCTACTAACCTGAGCCTGGTCCTCCGGTGATTAGAACGCCTCTATTAGTCGGAAGATTAGACATCAACTGTTCCATTATTTCACGATACAACCATTCTCTTCCTGAAGAAAGGGACTTATTGCGGCTTTTAAATTACATTGATACCAGGTATAATTCGCATGTTTGGGTGAATCTAAATATTATTTTCTCTATAAATGATATTTTAAACAAAATGAACATTTCAAAATAACACACGATAGAAGTAAATCAATTTGTGGAGCAATTTTAACAGTAAATTTTAAAAACAAAATATTAAGAACAATAAAATCTTTTAAAAATGTGAACCTGTGAAGAGGGATACTGAAGGGGGTGATGGAACCTCGAAATAAAGAGGTTTAAGAAACGTATGTTGAAACCTGGAACCTGGAAAAAGAAATTTTAAATCACACAAAAAATACATTTTTATAACTTACTTGAAAGTTTACTTCTTCTGGAGGAAACTGAGCGAATTGTTGAAACTTCTGAGCTAACATCAGAATCACGATCTGAATGTCTCGCTACGCTCGCGAGCTGGATTTTCTCTAGCTGTGGATCTGACAATGAATGCGTTAGGATGGGTTGATGTGCTGGATAGCTAGAGCTAGAACTGGGGGAATCTGACAAGTCTAGTTGAGCTTTAGAGTTGCTGCGTCTGTTGCTTCTCTTATCTGTAAATTTTGCTTTAAAACTATAAATCTTCTGGAATGGCTTGTACAGCGAATTCCTTTCGATCTGTAGATCAAGTTTCCGTTTCGGGATTTTGTCTGGAACTGGTTTCCAGGATTTCTGAACACGGTTCTTGGCGGATATTTCCGGAAGCGGTTTCGCAGATTTCCGCTCCGAATCTGAAGATTTTTCTGACGGTTTGTCTGACAAATCTGTAGCTTGTCTGCTCATGTGAGAAGTTCCTACAGCTTGGTTTATCCTGGGTCCAGCCCGGGTAATTCTTAAAAAAGAAAATCAGCATTTTAAATTTTTGGGATAGAAGAGTCTTTTATTACGAATTTTTGCAAATAATACCTGGCTTGTGACGGAGAGTTCAAAAGCTTTGATAAATATCCAGGTTCATTTTCAGACGGTCCATGTTCAACAGCATGGTCGGAATTTGTTTTAGCTACTTTTGAATCACTCTTTGGCGCACCAGAGTTAGTCTTAGCTACATACTTGATGCAGCTTTGAGTCTCTGAACCGCTTGAAAAGAATCCTAAAAAAAAAAATTTCCCGCCAAGTTGTAAAAAATCGAATTACCTTTACCTGACTCTTTACTTGTGTTTCCAATGTCGTCTTCGTCTCGAAATAAAATGGCGCGAACAGCTGACATCTTCCTTTCATCTTTGGCCCTTCTATCGACTACCCCTTCCTCCTTTGGAAGGAATCTAAATAATGAATATGAAGAAAAATTAATGATGTTTTATTGTTTTCATATTGTCAAAAAAGGCAAAAAAACGATAAGCGAGTTTCTTAGAAATAATATTTTAAGTTAGCGCAATATACAGCGCCATCGTTTCTATTGTAATGCTGTTTCGAATCGTTAATATTTCTCTTTAAGGTTCTTAAACTACCTGAATCCTCTATTAACAGTTTGTTGTAGAGTGAGGGGTGATCCAATACCCTCGTATGCCTAGAATTTGGAGAAAAATCAACACTATTCATTAAATTAATTAAACTAATTAAATTGATTTCAATAGAATAATAATTAAAGTATTTTCAATACATACATGAATGAATAGAATATTTATATTACAAATATTAATAAAATCCATGAAAAAGAGATATGTGCATCAATGTACATTGTACATGTACCAGACAATTTAAAAATATGAAAGTTTAAAGCTCTCTAATAATAACTTTAAGATTTCAAAAGTGAAGTCTGACGAGCAATGTATATATATAAAGAAAATCAACCTTTACCTGAAGTTGAAAATTAAACCCAGGGTTTCCAGGTTTAGTTGGTTCACCAGCGGGAGTCTTGGGAGACTTGGAGGGGAGAGCAGGGGTGGAGGCATTGGAGGCACTGGAGGGCTTTATGGGTGTTGAGTGGAAGGTGGGTTTAAAGGATTTGTCGATATCAGAGGACTTAGTCGTGAGATCGGAGGATGGAGTCGTGAAATCGGAGGATGGAGTCGTGAGGTCGGAGGATTCTGTGTATATTTTCGACATTTTGGGTGGACTGGATCCTTCAAACAAACATAAATAAACAAACCATTACACAGTGAACTAGACAGACGGAGAAGTTCAAATCTATGACACACTGAACTAGACAGACGGAGAAGTTTAAATCTATGACACAGTGAACTAGACAGACGGAGAAGTTCAAATCTATGACACACTGAACTAGACAGACGGAGAAGTTTAAATCTATGACACAGTGAACTAGACAGACGGAGAAGTTCATATCTATGACACAGTGAACTAGATCGACGGAGAAGTTCAAATCTATGACACAGTGAACTAGACAGACGGAGAAGTTCAAATCTATGACAAAGTGAACTAGACAGACGGAGAAGTTCAAATCTATGACACAGTGAACTAGACAGACGGAGAAGTTCAAATCTATGACAAAGTGAATTAGACAGACGGAGAAGCTCAAAACTATGACACAGTGAACTAGACAGACAGATACCTGTATCCACACACAGAGGACGGATCTACATATTAGATACCTGTATCCACACACAGAGGACATAGGTCGGATCTACATATTAGATACCTGTATCCACACACAGAGGACATAGGTCGGATCTACATATTAGATACCTGTATCCACACACAGAGGACAGAGGTCGGATCTACATATTAGATACCTGTATCCACACACAGAGGACAGAGGTCGGATCTACATATTAGATACCTGTATCCACACACAGAGGACAGAGGTCGGATCTACATATTAGATACCTGTATCCACACACAGAGGACAGAGGTCGGATCTACATATTAGATACCTGTATCCACACACAGAGGACAAAGGTCGGATCTATTGATACAGCTCAGACAACGCTCATGGCCGCAGTAATCCAACAGTCGACGTTTACGACGTCTAGGAAATAAAAATTATTATTTTAACCCTTTTTTTTTTAATCTCGACATATTCTTACTTTTGTCATTTTAAATCTGAGCAGCCGTAATTCAAGTCGAGTTTATTCAAGTTTATTTTTATATTTGTTTTAACGTGTACTCCCTTTACTCCCTGTACTCACTGTACTCACTGTACTCCAAGTACTCCCAGTACTCCCAGTACTCCTTGTACTTCATGTTATAACCAAATAGTACTGATTTGAAAATCAAGATAATTATACTATTATCATTCTGTAGAAAAAAACTACACTATTAATTATAACTATTCTGTATCTATATAGCGAGCAAATAAAAAGATATTTGTTTGATGCATGGTTTTTAATAATCATTACGCCAATGAAAATAATCTCAAATAATGCAAGTTGTACAGGAGAATGATTATTTTAGTTAAATTATTTAACAACAAATAATAAAATGTTTTATCCACAATTGGTATTAAACATACTGTTAAAGATAGGGTTTAACTTTAGATCGCTATTTGGGGGAAAATGAAGATTTAAATAATTTAAAGAATAATCATATCATTAAAAATAGAGGAAAAATAATGTAATTTTAATGATGAAAATCTGCGAATTTATGTTCGAAAACCTCTAAACATTTTGATTAATATGTTAGAACTTAAGAACAGAATGATAGGGACATCTAAAAAAAATATTACATGACATAAATCGGGACCGGGTCCGTCCTGTATACGATTTTTGTATAATCATTCATCATTAATCAATCCCTATACAGTACACGTGTTTAAATATTTAAAAAAGATTAAACATACAAAATATTTAGGTCTAAATTAAAAAAAGTTGACACATGCATATTGCATATAATTTATTTATTATTCAGAAAAGAGGCCTAATATTTTGGTGAAAACTCGTCTTCAATTTACGCAGCATTGATTCAACGTGATACAGACAATTTCAAGAAAACCTCCATTTATGAAATTTCATGTGCGATTAACAACGGTTTACCATTTAACCCTTCGTAAGATCAAGAAATAATGAGATATCCTTGTTTTAACTTTAAAAATAGTTTTTTTTAAATTGTAGTTTCTCTATAATAGTGAGTTCTGCTACAGATACAAGATAGAGAATTGTTTAAATTAAACACCTTTTAAACCATATATTTTATCAGATTAAAGTTTAAACTGTACCGTTGTGAATCAGGAATGACCCCTCTTTTTTATAAAAATAGAGGCACTTCACTACCATAGGCCTTTTAAGGCACCCCTTACCTTTTATGCATTGCTTAGGAATTTTAGCCTAAATAACAATAACATTGGGTATATACTATATAACCCATTTTATACTTTTATTAATTCTTTTAGTTTGCATTCATTATAGGAGTAGACTAGGTAGGCTAGGTAGACTAGATAGAATAGGTAGACTAGGTAGACTAGGTAGACTAGGTAGACTAGGTAGACTAGGTAGACTAGGTAGACTAGGTAGACTAGGTAGACTATGTAGACTAGGCAGACTAGGTAGAATAGGTAGACTAGGTAGACTAGGTAGATTAGGTAGACTAGGTAGACTAGGTAGATTAGGTAGACTAGGTAGATTAGGTAGACTAGGTAGACTAGGTAGACTAGGTAGACTAGGTAGACTAGGTAGACTAGGTAGACTGTTTTCTCTGACCTGGTATATATAAAGATTCCTTCCATATTCTCATAATTCTATGAAACAAGAATTAAAAGAAAGAAGATCAGATAAAAGAAAAGAAAAAAGCAAGATAGTCTAATTTAAACAAAAAATACGAGAAGAAGTAAGAATTAGACCAAAACCATTTCTTTGGTAACCTGACTACTAAACACAAACTTAAAAGAGAACGTGCCAAAGCATAAAAAGACTAAGAACAAGAACAAGAGTTTGCAAGAACAAGATCAAGCTTAAGCTTAGTAGAGATGTAACGGTGTTCACGTGTACAGGGTAACTGCTAGTTATTCTTGTAACATTACACCAATAGCAGCAGAATAGTAACAAGTGTTTTTACCCACAGCTTGATTTTAGTGGTTCAATACTTTTACCTTCCCTACCCTTTCCTTTCCTTCCCTACCTTTTCCTTTCCTTCCCTTTCCTTTCCCTTTCCTACCATTCCCTACTCTTCCCTACCCTTCCCTACCCTTTCCTACCATTCCCTACTCTTCCCTACTCTTCCCTACTCTTCCCTACTCTTCCCTACCCTTTCCTACCATTCTCTACTATTCCCTACTCTTCCCTACTCTTCCCTACTCTTCCCTACTCTTCCCTACTCTTCCCTACTCTTTCCTACCCTTCCCTTCCCTACCCTTACCTGCACTTACCTACCTTTCATTATTCTTCCCTACCATTCTTTTTTCTTTACTTGCTCTTCCCTACCCTTACCTGCTCTTCTCTACCTTTCCTTATTCTTCCCTACCCTTCTTTTTTTTCCTACTCATCCTTACCCTTTACCTGCTCTTCCCTACCTACTTCCTTATTCTTCCCTACCTACTTCCTTATTCTTCCCTACCCTTCTTTTTTCTTTCCTACTCATCCTTACCCTTTACCTGCTCTTCCCTACCTACTTCCTTATTCTTCCCTACCTACTTCCTTATTCTTCCCTACCCTTCTTTTTTCTTTCCTACTCATCTCTACCCTTTACCTGCTCTTCCCTACCTACTTCCTTATTCTTCCCTACCTACTTCCTTATTCTTCCCTACCTACTTCCTTATTCTTCCCTACCCTTCTTTTTTCTTTCCTACTCATCTCTACCCTTTACCTGCTCTTCCCTACCTACTTCCTTATTCTTCCCTACCTACTTCCTTATTCTTCCCTACCCTTCTTTTTTCTTTCCTACTCATCCTTACCCTTTACCTGCTCTTCCCTACCTACTTCCTTATTCTTCCCTACCTACTTCCTTATTCTTCCCTACCCTTCTTTTTTCTTTCCTACTCATCCTTACCCTTTACCTGCTCTTCCCTACCTACTTCCTTATTCTTCCCTACCTACTTCCTTATTCTTCCCTACCTACTTCCTTATTCTTCCCTACCCTTCTTTTTTCTTTCCTACTCATCCCTACCCTTACCTACTCTAACCTACCCTTTTTTGTCTGCCTTATATGTAAATTTAGTTCTAAAACAGACTGTATAGTGTATGATCCCCTCCCAGTCTATATATATACAGTTTATTATGTATATTTTACAAAGTATACAAACCAATTCTGATTTTTGCCACAGATGTTTATATATATATATATATACGATTGCACCCTTTTCTATATATATATTTAACTATTTGTTATTATAGGTTTTTAAATTGCATATTTATTGTATGAATATCTACACTTGTAACATATAATGTTAAAAAGGTGTTTTATTTTGTGGTGAAAATTGCACGAAAATAGATGCAAAAATATATCTATATTTTTTTGTATTGCGTTTTTACAAAACATTATTTTGGTTGCTCCCTAATCATGAAAAGTCTCTCTTTTTCTCCCCTTTGTTTACCATTAGGGTTGAGAAGTTAAACGTGTAATGGACTCTAAGTTAATTTTTAATTAAACCTTTTTATTGAAATATTTATTTGAAATCTTAAACTCTATAATGTTATTCGGTTTTTCAGGCATAATTTACTAATTGAAACATTTTACGCTGCTTTTCACACCAACTAGCTTGTTAAATTTACCCTGCCCCTCCTCAAATTTCTCCCCTCCCCTTTTGTACTTTTGTACCCCCCCTTGCCCTTGCTTTTTTAGCTTAAAGATGTAAATGTCATGCTATCATTTTTGAAACAAAAAATCGATATTTGCATTTTTTATTTGTTCATTATTAACAAATTTTACGTTTACAGCTTAATGTTTTTTTATTGTTTGAAATAAATCTCATTTCAGATGTTTATATTTTCAAAAAAACCATAAATTCAAAATTTTGTTGTGTCAAGTTTGGATTTTACTTAAATGTGTTTGTTTGAAATATCATAAAAAATCGTAATCTTAGTTGATGTTAAGTTAACATTTGTTTTAAGAAATGATAAGTAAAAGTACTATAATTATTGATGTAAATGAACAAAACCCATCTTTATTTTTCACTTGCTAATTGTGTACATTGCTCAGTAAACTGCTGTACATTGCTCAGTAAACTGCTGTACATTGCTCAGTAAACTGCTGTACATTGTATGAACACGTATACAAAATGAATGAAAGGACATTGTATCGAAGGAAAGGATGAACACGTATACAAAATGAATGAAAGAACAATGGATCGAAGGAAAGGATGAACACGTATACAAAATGAATGAAAGGACAATGGATCGAAGGAGAGGATGAACACGTATACAAAATGAATGAAAGGACAATGGATCGAAGGAAAGGATGAACACGTATACAAAATGAATGAAAGGACAGTGGATCGATGGAAAGAATAAATGACCAAAATGAATGAACAAAAGGATGCATAAATGAGGATAAAAAACGCCGCGGAATGAATGAAAGGATAAGGGATGACTGAATGAATAGATGAATGAATATGCATATACCGAACTAAACATGTTTAAAGTCTAGACTGAATATAGTAAGGCTAGGAACCGTTTATAAATCTCGAGATATCAAAATTCCATTCAAAGAATCTCAAGTCCATTTTCTCAGGCACAGTGCCTGGCGGAACAAGCGGCATGATTTAAAAATTGCATTTCGTCGAATTTTCTAGAAGCGCCGCCATTGGAAGGGAGAGGGGGGGGGTTGTTAAACAGAACATGGAAATAGGGATGTAGAGGTTGTAATTTAGAGAGGGGGGTCGGGATGGGAAGGATTGGAAGAGAAGGGGTGGTAGCAGGGCCATAATTATGGGGGGGGGAGTGCACCTTGAGATTAAAATTAAGTGCTTTTTAACTATTTTAGTGGGCGTTGGACTCCTTTTTTACCTCATCCCATTCATTTCATTGTCATTTTTTCTCGATTAAAAGAAAGACGAAAAAGCAAAACGTCTATTTTATATATTTATTCGACGACTTTGTGATC